TTAGGATTTTGTGCAATCCGTAAATGGGGGAAAAATGTATGGGGGATACAAAAATGCTATGACTACCTCATACTAAATACATATACATCTGTAGATACTAGGGGTAGAGAGATATGACGAACACAACCATACTTCTTGTGTAAGTGGAAGCCTATATAATACCTCAATTTAAGAGTAATTTTCTTAAGAAACTAACATTCAGTACTAGGTATCTACAAACTAATTGGCATCATGATGAAATTAGAACACTAAACTTACGAGTATGCCGTATTTATCAAGGTAAATAATCTGCTTAGAATAATAATTTAGGCTGTTCTACTCTAATCTCAATTCTCTCACGTAGATTACACAATTTACATCTCACAAATGCTAATCATGTCTGGCATTGGCTCTACGCAGTTTTGAAGACCCACTGTACCTAAAGTTGTGTCATTAAAATAAACATTAAATAAAAAAATAACAAATACCAGATCATAATCGCTACTTCGAGAATTTCGTATTGTTGCAAAATTTAGCTAAATTCTCAACGAGTAAGTATATTTATCAAGGGGCTGAATTCTTAAATTTTAAACGTAGATGTTGAACATATTATTTAAAAAATACCTAGTATAAAAATAAGTTATTATTAAAAAAAATAAAAAGCAAGTACCTACTGATTTTCTTCCGATTTTATAAACACCATGAAGTCACCGTAAGAAAAAGTTTTATATTCCTTGCATACCTTATCATAGTTTTTCATAAATATATTTAGTTTTCACAACTGTATACAGTACACAGAGGATTATAATTATGTTTTTATTCTATATAACCTGTACTCGCTCGGGCATAACTTCGGCTAGTTTATTAGTTTATGCGATTCCTACCGCAACCGCTCAACCGCTTAAAGTTTATTGAAAACATATTTCCGCTACGTAGTTCTCGGTATAACGTGCGTAAAACATACGTAAGTACAAATCTTCCACACAATCTAGCAATATTGAAGGAAGCGACTGATATAAACTTGAACTTGCAGACTATGGGCACTAGATCATGTCAAAAGTATGCTGACATGGCAATTATAATTTTAATCGTATCTTTATAGCGAACTTTCTTAATTTTAAGTAACTACGAGTATCATCATACAATAATCATATAATTTGGATATATTATACTCTATGATCAATAATTAAAAATTGTTTCAAACTGCTGAGAAGAATTAAACAAAATAGGATGATTACGTTATTTTTTAAACGTCTTGTAAATATTCTTGAGGTAAGTAGCACATACTTGATAAAACACATTACTGTTTTTGTATATAAAATTTCTACAAAATATAAAGTAGTAAATTTCTCATATATTTAATTAAATATGAATGTCCATTGCTGCGTTAGACTTTAGAAATAATAGAATATATATATAATAATTTATATAAAAGTAAATTTCAATGCAATTTATATATTCTATGGTAAATGCGTTCGATCACGGCTACCAATACTAGACGTAAACTAAACGTGGTAAATATATATGATGTCCGTGTTTATATTAATAATTATAGATTTTATCTTGATTTCATTTTGAATATATATATAATAACAATAAGAGAGTCATTGAGTAGTAGTTTGCTGACTATACTTGTATGTGAGTGGTTTATACAAATCAAATTCATACGGGAAATGGGAGCAGCAGGAATTATCAAGAGTTGTGTATAATTTTGGAGCTAATAATGATCAATGTAAGTAATTTACCATATTTCTTTATTTGTTGTACAAACAACAAAAGGTAAATACGCACACTATAAAATTCAATATTCGCAGAACTGTTGTTGATCCTATTTGTGGTTGTAAATATCCGTTGATAAAATTCCAAAAACCGGTCGAGAATATATATTAAAAACAACGCAATCAAATATACCTACTAGTATATCAGCCTACGATCGAATGTAAGTATCTAACCGACGGATATAAATAGTTAAATATTGATTAAGTCATTGAAGTACCCCATTTTCTTACTTTGGTCGCGATAGCCCTTGTACAAGTTTTAGGAACAACCTCTTCATGATTAGGGCCTTACTTAAAGGTACACGCGCACGTCTCCGGGGTCCATGTTTAAGGCTACTATAATATATATTATATTATATATATCTATTATAAGTATTTACCTTAGTTTAAGTTTGTACATAAAATTACACAATACCTTTTAATCTTAGTTACTTAATTTATTTATTAATTTATATTGTTACGGGTTTAACTCACGAATACGATAAATAATATCAATAGTGCAAAACCAGGTAAGTATCATAAAATAATATAATAATGACAAAAATTATGACTAGATAATGAAGCACCGAATAATATTTATTTAGACACTTATGTGCTGAAGTACGTAAGTCGGACAGAACAAATATATAAAAAGTAAAGATCAGATTAACAGAAATATCTTGAGACAATCGTCATCTGTTTGATAATACTGATTTTGTTCTTTAGAATTTCATTATGGACAAGCTCTTGATTGAATAAAATGAATTTAATAATTTTGATAACATCTTGATCAGAACAATAAATATCCAGTAGATATAACTGGATCTGCTAGGCCGAGGCCGTGCGTATACAAATAAAATTTAAAATGAAAACTAAAATTAACTTACTGATCTAAAACTTACAGAACAGAACGTCCTAGTTATAAAAGATACGTGTTATATTTTAGGATAAAAACCATTTCATTTTTATTCACATCCCATAATCAACTTGAAAAAAGAGTGGATCATCATTCACTCTTCTTCTGTGGATATTAACAGAGCATTTATATCATAAAAGCATAAACTTATTAGAACAGTAATAAGCACCGACTCACACCGTTTTGGTACTATTTCATCAAAGAGCAGTTTGCTCACATATTCCAGTGCTGCCGTTTGTTAAAATGTATTTTCATGTATATAAATGAGAATACGTTTGTATCACAGTAACAGTTATACATCTATACAAATAAATAAAATTGGCTTTACACGAAATGCATATTAATGTAAATACGATGCTTACTTCAAAACATAAATTTAAAATAATTTTGTCTGTTTATCTGTTTGTTCTTGCTATCTTGCTAATCTATGATACGGTTGGACCAATTTTGACGGGACTTTCTTTTTAACTAATGTTATAAAGAGTAACTAAAGATATTTTTATTTGAGAAAATATATTTATTTTAATAAAAAAAATTCCACGTGGACGAAGTTGCGTTTAACATTTACTGTTGCATAAAAATCTATACACATAAATAAAATTGATGTAATTGTTTGTAATTTCAAATTAATACCGGCACTTACATCAAATAAAATATTTAATATATATTGGTCGTATGTCAGTTTGTTTTTGCTCTTCTCAGAAACTGCTGCACCAATTTTACTCGCAGATATGTCTTACGTCATAAGGGGGGTTATACCAAGATACGATATTTATTTGATATGAATTGATACATTTGATATGAATGAATACAGATTGCTGCAAGGTTTGTGCGAAATGAAACCACGACCACCTAAAGGAGGCAGACTGGGAGATAGTGTATAGACAGGATTTGTATATATAGAGTATTATTGCTTATTTGACCTCATTTAATGATATAAAATCTGAAACACCTATCTTTTCAAGAGTAAACTGCAAAACGAATTTTAACCAAATGTTGAATTCTGCATAGCAAATTTTTTCTAAAGATTTTTCAAAAAACATAATATACTAATATGTTTAGTATTTTGTTCAAAATAATTAAGATAAGAAATTATTGCTGTAGGTACACACATATTACTGGTTATTTTCAGTGTTTCTTCTCTCATATCAACTTCAATCATATTGTACTTTAGGTAATGAAGTGATAACATAAATCAACTTTCTCATCTAAATAATCTATTAAGCATGAAAAGACAAATTTAGATACTATTTATTTTTGAAGTCGGTTAAATATCGTTAGATATGTATTCTGCGGGGTTCTTAAAATGTTAAATGTGGAACTGGTTCCTACAAAACGGGTGCCGCCTCAAACCGCGTGTCAAGTTTCTGACTGTTTTAAAGCTTGGTCCAAATATAATAATACTGATCCGTTACTTTTCCTTCATTCGTATTTCAAATACTATACTTTGTGAAGAATGTAAACCGTACTATATATATATAGTATGTATGATAATTTCAAACAACATATATTTTATATTTATTGTTCAAGAAAGAAATATATGATAAAATTATAGTATTAAAAACTTTTCATTCTAATACTATATTTTTATCATATAAAAAGTTGTGAATGAAAAAAACTTTTCATTCACAAACAAAACTACTTAAGCTACTTCTAAGTGTTTAGAATAATAAATTTAAGGTTATAGCAATTGATTAATTCCGAAAACTTACCATAAGAATATAAGAAATAATGAGCTAGGAGACTAATTTTTAAAATATACTTTGATGTTAATCAACTTTTAATGTATGTTGAATACTTGTTCCTACATAAAAACTATATAGACATATAAACATATAGGATTATTTTCATCGTTATTTTTCCGAGTGCACACTTTTATTATCTAATGCAAAATGTTAGTGTAAAGTAAAAGTAATGAAAAAATAAATTATATTTATACATCCAGATACATCCACATAATAAATAATTAAAAACCACTATTGAAAATAATACATTTAAGGGTATCATGCTATTCAGAAATCAATGTTTAATAGATAAGTACCTAAATATTTAAAATCAAATATACTAGAGTATATTTGATTTTAAAATATTTAGGTGTTAGGCATGAAAAGTTAATCTAATTCCGATGCTTTTTAAGATCATATATTTTTTGTTAAATAACCACGAAAAAAATATTTCCATGTAAGACTGTCGATTGAATGGCCCATCCACGTCACAGTGGATACCTATTGATGACGGTTTTACTGTTTACAAATTTTCTCGCTTGTCCATTCACCAGAACAAATCGTGTTTAAACGACTCTTGACAAATTCATATATTTTACGTATTTAACGAATTCAGAAACATACTTGTTGCGTGTTTTCTTTTATCAGGCAATAACTGCAGGCTGTTAGGCTTCTGTAACAACTCCTCCAACTCTGGGGGTTGGTCCTCTTCATTGTTCTTTGATTTCATGTTAGTGTTTTTCATTTTTACAGCGAATTATCTATATCATTATTCAAAATATAATTTGTAACAATACACATTACGAAACACTGCAATATAAGTGACACCATGAGTAAAGACGCTGCGCGACGCGCATTATGGCGTTTAGTCCTAAATTCACAAATAATAGTCTTTTATAAAAATAAGGGAAGTTCCTGTGTATTTTACGTGATGACAGTTCAGCTGTGTGAACAGTTTATTAACACGATGATGCTTTAAGAGAGCCGCGCGGTGACTGAGCGCGCCTGCCGGTGGTCAAGGGTACGGTCAAAACACTAAAGCACATTTCACACCCACAAAATCCAGCATAAAGGTGCCACTGGAACCTGCTGAATAATCAGTCCCATATAATAAACACAAGCGTTTTTATTTTGCATTTGTGTTTTGGCTTGTAATACGGGTCAAGTACTAGAATACTTAGATTACCTTCATTATCGTCAAAACTACTATATTTTTATAGAAATACTTTCTCTATCAATTAATCTTATATCATTAGTTCTTACTCAATTTAGAATATAATCTGTCTATAAATGGAGTAGAATTATATACATTATTCTCATTTCACCTTGCAGTTTTCAACAAAGTTTCTTTCAGTATCTGATAATTTGCACAGTCAATATGGCTCATGGCTTGGCTGGAAGAGGTGTCTTTTGAGGTGGAGTACGTCCACCCTTGCTCACATTTTTTATAATTATGTTATATTTTATTATACATGTATGTCCAATAAATAATATATACTTAGTAATATTTTTTAGAAAGATTTAAACAATATTCAATATTTCTGAATTATAATATTATTTTAAAATACTCTCATAACGAATTATAGGTTGTCTTAAAATGAGTCGAATATCAATGTAAACATAAGTACATAATAGTTTTACAAAATAATATATAATACTTTGTTATAACTAAACCATTATTTTTAAGAATTACAAGAATGGTTAAAGAAGAATGTTATTAGATAATTACCGCTTTAGAAATAAATGTTATTTCTGTTTTATGACTGGAGTTAAAGTAAACAAGCTGACGGACCTACTCATGATAACCCAATAATGGTTGCCTATAAATCTGAATAGAACTACGGGCCGTTTACATGATGCCATTTCTGAGGACCGATATATCATGCATCCAAATCCTAGATAATTCGTCACATCTCGCTCTTCAGACTAGAAGAAACTAGCAAAGCAAGTTGCTTGGAGGCAGAATTTAGCAAGCAACTTTACACACTCCTTTTAATTATGACGTGAAACGTCGTACCCTTAAATTATTTATGCATATCTACTTATTTTAAACATTGGTTTGTTGTGTAATTTTCAAATTGAGTCTTATAAAAATAAATATGAAAAGCAATGTTAAGGATGCGGGTTATACAATTCTATGTCCATTGAAATGGCATTTCTGTATATTGATATTTATAATCTTAGTAATCTATTAATAATCTACTAATTTATAATACATGCTGCTTATTCAATAAGTATGCCATTTAAAACACAATATACCTACTGTTATCCTTATAGCAAACAATTAAATAGATAATAAATGATAGTTTATCAATTAATGATATGAGATACACCTAAGAAGAAACTACGCCATAATTATCTACTGTAAAACATAATATTTATACACAGGTAAGTACATAAAGGAATTCCACATATTGTAACATAATATTCTTACGCAGCAAGAAACCCATTAATCTAAAAGAACAAGTTTAGCATCATCCGCGGTCCTCCTCATTATGTAAATTTTAATTTGAACTTTATCTGTATGGTATAAGGTGTGTGTTGGTATGTCTTTTAAGTGGTTTATTATTCATATTTTATTATTCCCTTGGAAGTCAACTTTAAAAAGGACCACGTTGAATAAACGCATTCAGTATTAGAATATAGTATCTATTCAAATTCGAATTAAAGCGCAGTAGTTATTTCGTTACTTCGTAATCTGAATAATGTAAAATTGAAAAGTATTAAACAGTAGCCACTTCATTACCACGTTAACGGTTTCATGTTGAAGAAAGATATATAAAAAGTTTGGCACTTTGGATATTATCCGATGGGTCTTGATTCTGTACTCTGACCACCAATTGGGGTTAAACCTTTATACATACATACTTAAATGCAAGGAAATCATGTTATAGCAATGGTTGCAACGTTGAGTTGAAGGGGAAGAGACTCTTAAGAGAAGAAAAAGTAAGTACACTTTGTAAAAAATCATTTGCATGGGTACCTCACTCTCAATGTAGCGGTCAAGCAGCTTGCTCTATAATATGTGAGATTAAACAGTGATTTTACAGGATAAGAGGAATGTCATTTGAGAGGTATATGGGCATCACATGTTAACATGACGTGCAGTGCTGTTCCTGCACTGATATAGACGACTCACCACTTATAATCAGATGGGTCATCAGCTTTTTGCCACTCCAATTAAGAACAAAAAAATATATTATATTTAAAAAATCTTGTATCAAGTATACCTATTGCAATTATGAATTAGCCTTCTCACTCACATTACAAAGTCCTTGAACACCGTTTAAACAACGTGGTTGTAGATACATCAAAATAAAGTTAACATTTCTTAAGTATTAATCATATAAGTACTAGCTGCCCCTGATATCTGATAAAAAATATATGTAACTCATGCACTGTGTGAAAGACTATGCTTATTATATTCTAGTAACTATCTGCCGTGTATTATCGCGAACTTGCTATACAACACATAAAAAGTATTTATTAATACTTAGTTCACGCTCCTTACCAATACTTCTATAATATTTATTCGTAATATAAAGATATCATGTAGGTACCTATACGATAATAAATTAGAAATGTATGCTGTATTTTAAAATATAAAATATATATCTATATGTTTCATTTTATTGTATGTCATTTACTGTATTTTCACTATTTTTATAATACCTACTATTAAAAATATCAGATTTATATTTTTTGTGAAATTCTTTTAAGTTGGGTATGATTTTGTTAATTAATGGTAAAATATTTTTAATAACAATAAATCTGAAAGTGTACCTATTTCATTATAAAGACCGTGATATCATCACTGAAAAATTTTATTTATTTACTCTATAACCACAGTGCCACCCACAAATACCTATGCGGTTCTTCTCTGACCGCAAACCTTTTAAATTCGACTAGGTACGGTACGAATCATACAATAACATCTAACAATACTTCCATCTATTGGTTTTACGTTTTTCATTTAACTAGTTCATTTATACTTAACACTAAATTAATTTGTATTAAATTTATACAGTATACTTAGTATGATTTATCTAGGTACTATTGTAACATATCCTCTATAGGCTGCATTTCGACAAAAATGCTTAGGAACTCCATAACCTCATTTTCCAGCACCATTCCACCACCGTACGAGACACCCATATACAGTTGACATTCCTGCTGCTCGTACCAATCGATTTGCTTTGATATTCGTTGTGCTAATGATAAAAACCTCATGTATTCAGAACACGGGTAGGCGAGTTCTTTTTGTGAATTATCAGGTAATCGTAAATACAAGATATAACAGGAGTGGTGTTCTTATTAACGAGGAGAGTGACCCTGTTGCTAACAATAACATGGTAATCTTAAGTCGACCCTCATGGGGTCCTCGCTGGAAACCATCGTTAATTCCAGCTGAATTTCCTACGACATGCCAACTGCGGGTCAGACTTTATATTATTATACATCAGCGAATGGCACCATAACGCAAACAAAGTCGAGGGCGTCGTCTTGTGACCCATATAATGAGCTATCACTAAATATTCGCAAATCTACTTAATTACAATAGGTACCAATTTCTAGAACAAAGCATTATCTTTCATGATTAATTTTTTTATTTCATGGTCGATGTAGCATGCAATTAGTGCATTGTTAAATATTACCGTGGAATAAAAATCATTGAACTTATTTTATAACAATGAATGAATCGAATCCGATGAATGAAATGTTCTGTGGACAAAATTCTTCATTTACATTTGTTACAAACTGGTGTAGTGTTTAATGACGTCGTTACTTTGTCACGAATGTACGTACGTACTTAATTACTCCCGCCCTTAAAATAGCAATAGCAACCAAACCGGAGAATTACTTGACTAGAATATTATGCGAATTATTAATTCGAATGTATACGTATTTAATTTCATAGTTTTCCTGATTTAGTAAACAACGCAAATTTATTCTGATTAGTATATCATCATCACAATCTATAAGTATTAAGATCACAAAATATAGTAGTTGGTACTTATATTTTGTACAGCAGTCTCTTTGGGAAATTCGTAACGGAAAATGTAGTCTTTCATCGACGTCTTGCAACAGATAATATAATTTCATATCAATATCAATCATACCTATCTTAGACAAGCAAGCTGACAACTAACCTGATAGTAAGCGGTACCTAACCGTAGCCTATATATTATACATGAACACCACATTGGACATCACGATATCATGACACCTGTGAAACCACTCATGCTACCTCTACTGAAATTCTCCGGCGGCGACAGTAGTGACATTATGTAATTTAAGACCAATGTAAATACACATCAATTATTATGAAATTCTTCCCTATAATTAAAAAAAGTATTAGTACTTGGAGTTTCAATATTAACAATTAACCAAATTAATCTATCTATAACTATAAATAATATGTATATTTTGTATATGTGTATATATTAGTTGGTGACGCGTATTATTTATTGTATGTACCTGTACCCAGCACTCCACAATTCCTCCTAGTCACTCAGTGGTTGACTGGAAGAAATCCCCCTTTTGGGATAGTCCACCATTGTACCCTTTTAGTTACATATACGCTAGGCCTAACCACGTACTAATTTAATGTTAACTAGGAGTACAAACTTCTTGAAGTTTTCAATGCCAATGAATTTATGTATGTAACATTACCTTTGCACCTTACCAAGTAATATATTATATGATCCGTCAATGGGAACTTTAAAAATATGTAAATATAAGATCTCTTCTGTCGTAGCCGCGGGCGTGGGGTTTCCCTAGCGGTGACAAAGTTAGTGGTTTATACAACATTGCTATTTTTAATAAGGAAGGAAAATGTTGTAGATATGTTGCCTTAAGCATACCTTAAAAATAATTACCTAAAAATTTTTATTTCAAAAATTGGTTTAATAATATGCAGCGGGAACGAGCATGTGGATGTATACTCTTCGTACAATCATAGATAATTTGATCTGACCAAATTCTCTTTATTTAGCCTTTTCTTATCTACATCGCACCTTCTCTTCTACTATAACTTTCCTATTATTCTAAATTTTATTGTTAAAAAACTAACTTCTACAAATATTGGCGACTCGTCACCCGTGTCACAGATAAAATAATATTCCCGTATTAAATACCTAGAGTCTCGAGAAAACCTGAAAATGAACTACCTGCCTAGGTAGTTCATTCCACAATCTAAGTGTACGCTGAAGGAAGTTCTGAGATCACTTAGGTTCTAGCGTGTGGGGATGAATTCCCTGTCGATGGTGAATAGCACTTTAAAATCGAACATCACCGTATGAGTGTATATTACTTATAATTTACAAAAAAAAAAAAAGTTTTATCAATATAAGTAAACGGAAGACCGAGTTAGACTATTGAGTTTTCCATGGTAAAGACACGCCATTCTGTACAGCGTCATTAATGTTTTTATTATTTCATTTAGTGGCAAACGAGCTCACGCTCACCTGATGGTAAGTAGTAGTCGACACCTATATAAATGAACAGCAATACGAATTTAATATTATCATGACGCATCTATGCTGTAACTTAACTGCCATTCAAACGCTTCAACAACAAACAAGTCACAAGCAAGTTCTCTAGTGGCTGAAATAGATGAGACAATATTAAGATAAGCTAAAATTTAATGGCCACTCGTGTTCTTAGCAATAATTCTAAACTTAGCTTGAAAGCCTTTTCCGTATGTAAGTATAATATCCGCAACCTCAGAAAACTTTATTGACATCATATCTAAATCCTTAAGATTAAAGATTTCATTAGTTATAGAAGTAGATCGGAATTTATTACTTATTTTGGCTATTATACCTAATAATTGCCTTAATAGTCAAAGAAAATGTATATGCTATTATTAACAAATAAATAATTACTTTAGTGAGGCATTCCCGTGTTTTATTACAGATTTTTAGACATACAATTACTGAATTTAAATATTATATCAATTTTGTTTACCAGCTCAAAAGGCGGGGATTGTTTGAACCTGGCATAATGCAATATCAGTTTCAGAGAAACGAACCGTGCAGGTACCGAACACATCATGTGGCAAAGGGAAAGCAGCAGTTCTCAGGACTCATTTCCCGGTTGTAGTTTTAACCGCACATGTTTCCCTCCCAGCCTAGAAGTCTAGTAAGAGCCTACCAATTATCTCCAAATATCATTTTTTATTTGAATTATAGAAAAATATTTAGACAAAAAAGCACTAATATTAAGATCCTATATTTAGATATAAATTAATAAACAGATATAACATCTATGTATTTATTTTGACTCATTCTTTTGCTTTCGCCTTCTTTTTTAATAGCATCTGTTTTCTCTCTTCTGGAGTTTTCTTTAATCCTTTCATCTTACGTGTTTGTAGTTTACCAATGTCCTGTTTGCCAATATGGATACGACCCAATTTAGAACCAAATGCATCTCTAGATATATTCTTCTTGGTACCTTGTTTCGATTCTTTTGGTACTCTACAAGCCTCTTTGTATAGATCATCTGCTGCTAGTTTCGTCCTTCGAAGTTTAAAATCTATAGAAGGTCCTGAAACAAATATTTGCATGTTACTAATATCTAGAATGTAATTGTAAATATTGATGTTCAGTTATGTAAATGGAATGGCAAACATGCTAACATGTCACCTAATTCCAAAGGAATGTGTTATATGAAATAGTATGCCCATTTACTATTATATATTAGTGTTTCAGATATTCCTTCAGATATTTGCAAATATATCGCAAAATTTTAGCAAATTGGTTTAATATATCTAGTTCCAGATTTATTAATACAGCGAAAATAGTTAAATTGTTCAAACAGAATGTTAATTGTTGTAAATTATGAAACATTTAACATATGTTATACTAAAAAATATAAATTACAAATGACTTATAAAACATGTAAATGATACTTTGCATTAAAATTTTAAATAGGCATTATTTTCTAAGTGGGTGGTACATTCAGTAACAGTAATAGTTATTCCAGTATTATCAGAGTCTACTGCCAGTTTACCAAATATCCCACAACACAGTGTGCTTTTTATACAGGCCACCAGCAGCTCATTTAAATATTAGTTAGTATGGATGAGTTTTATACATACCAATTTCATCGAGTTCAATTCTAGGAGTTCTCTGTCCACTCTTTTTCAGTAATATTCTATATGACCTCAAGTAAATCATTCCATCATCTGTAGCAGTGAAACTGAGAGCATGTTCCAAGCCTTGCAGCCTAATTGTATCCACCTGGAAGTAAATATTGTCTTAAATAAGTGTAATATAAATAGTAATTTTACATTTGAGGCTAAAGTTTAATTAAAATGTAATTAACACTAGCTTCAAAAATTTAACAATATTACAAACAAAATATATAAATATCTATAGAATACTAGCTGTCACCCAGTGGCCGAAGTTCAATCATAATAATATAAATTATAAGTTTAAACATTATTTAGTTTCCATTGTCAAAGACTTTTGACAAATATTATTAAAGACAAACAATATTAATATATTATCAATTTTACCACAGCTTTAACAATATGTATGTGTGTAATATTTTTTATTGATTTAATGTATTTTCTATACATTATTTAAAAAAACAATTTGCATACTGCACTCCTCTGTATAGGGCAAAATTTCATATTCCTCCAACCGCTCAATTTTCATAAAAAGGAGTATATAGTTATTACTTCACATATTAATATGTAGATTCAACAAATATTTGTCACATAGAAATAAATAAATGATAATGAGAAAAGTAAATGTGTATTGGATACCCAGATTTTATAATACAAAAAGTTTTTATATTCATTACATGACAATGCCACTCATGGCTATAGCCATCAAACCAAAGATTTAAATGGTGTGGCAAACAGTATTAGAGTAGTCTGAAAAAATAATAATAAAAAAATATTGAAATGGATATAATAAATATCATCATAGAAAAAACTATTTATATTTTTGTATCACAAACCTTTTCTCTATGAAAGAAATCTATGAACAGTGACCTCAACCTCTTTAAATCCAGATTTAGATCCCAAGCTGGTCCATTGAACAACAGACACGGCTTCAAGCCAGCTAGCACTTTCATATTTTGGAATTCTGACATTGATTTAAAGTTTTCTGCTCCAAGCTCTATCAAGTCCAATACATTATAATTAAAAGTTCTGCCCAGTATTATATTGTGTGGACGCTTCTTGCTGTGTGATCCCACACCAAATAAAGCTGCATCCTTCTTGTCGCACATTCTAAAGAGAATAAAAGAAATTAAAATATTTTAACTTGATTGGTGAACCATAAAGAGCATATGTACTTCAATAAGCTGTCATAAGCTAGTAGATCAGAAAGGTTTTATTTTTCTTTCCTATCTGAAACCAGCTCTAAGCAGATCTGCTCCATAAGAATCCTATGACTCATTACATTGTATCCCTTCTCACTTCTCCCTTTTTAGTTGCTTAAGGTAGTGTTTTTGTAATAGTTGAGGAGCCAATTGATTTGGTTGGTTACAAAAGCACTGTTTATATTTAGTTTTGGAATTGAGTATCTCCTTTTTTACTGTCAGAAAGTAGATGGATTTTTAATGTTGAATCCACTCACATGAAAGTATGTTACCAAGACATCTGCTCATAGCCATGAAGATTTAATGATACGGAAACTAAAATGATTTAAAAGAAAATTGTCAAGTACTGCTAAATCAAATTCATAAGCTGAAGTCTAGGAAATTGCAAAACATAATTTACAATATATTTGGTAGATACCAAAAACAGATAGATAAAAATTTTATTCATGTTAAAGGCACACACACACACACAAGGCACTGTAATAATAAGAACAAAAATAAAAACATATATACACATTACATTAGTGAAGTTAAACAAAATACAATATACAACAAATATACAGATAAAATAAAATGTAATACAGATAACAAAAAACGGTATGTGTAACGTAGTGTGTGCATAGCCCATATGTAAAAAAGCAGCACCTCAGTGTATTGTTTGCAGCATACCACTGATATTCAGGCACTGCCCAGAGACATACGCGAGGACGCATGTAACAAGACCACAGCTTGTAAACAGCACTATTATATTATCATAAATATTAATATATTAAAAAAAACTATAATAAAACAAGAAATAAGAAATACTTTTATTACTACAAATGTACATACAATACATGGCAACATAACCAATGTAGTAATAATCTAAATACCAATGTAGAAAGAACTTGCTACAGTATATTTCGTATATGAAAACTAGCCAAGCAGACCTTAGGCTACAGTATATTATCCTAAGGTATAAGAAGAGATGATATTTTATATTGTTATAAATACATTTCAGGACAGACCATTGAACTTGGCACCCATTTAGATCTCACCTCTTTTGTCGTAGAAGTCAACAATCAAGGCATATATCATAATATTAAACTCGGCTATCATTTCACATTTATGTTTTTGATGGGATATCATTACTTTTTGTACACAAATTATACGAGGTACTTATTTATAACTAAATTAATACCAAATTATTTTTGATAAACTACTGTATTTTCATATGTTTTCGGGGTATATGATATTTCGACTATCCTCTTAGTTGTAAGTATGAGTATATTTTAGACAGAATCTAAATTATAGCAACTTCTGTTTACCGCTCAATGCAATATTTGAAGTTTGCTAGTTATCGACACTGATGTGAAGGGGTTAACGTAAATTGGTAAAGATCGACGTTTTCATACAATATTACTTTCCGTCCAGTACAAGATGAGCTATTTTTGCCAGGGATCAATGTTCATTGGTGGCTATCGAAGTTTTCATAGTAAGCGTCCAATATAAGTTGAAATAGAATCAATTAAAGTGAAAAATTCTAATAAAATGATAACAATTTACCAGTTTCAGATTTTTTCCTTTATATTCACCTAATTACCTATCTGCATGCCAAATTTGAACTTCCTAGGTCATCTGGAAGTGGGTTATAATTTTGATCTATAGTTGATCAGTGATAAAAATGGCGATATTTGGATGTTAATATCTAAATAACGGTTAGAGATATGTTTATGAAATTTGGAACATATATTTATCTCGCAAGTCTCAATATATGAACTAAATTTGACAGGTTTATGTGAAAGAGTTTTTGAGTTATGAGGGGGTCAAAAGTGGCTCCAAATGGTTCGTGTAAATATACACACGGTGCTGCTCGCCAGTTCTCTTGAAACTCGGCTTGACACGCTACCGCGTGTCTTGTATAAATATAGAACAGCTTGCGAAATGTTAATTAAATTTAGTTACTGCAATTTATTGATTTTTTGGTTAATATAATAGAGAATATAATCTTACTTTTCTATGATGGTGGCATCCTCAAAAGGTACAAAGTCATTTTTACGACTGAGATATGCAGCATCTGGTTTTTTCAAATCGTAGATGTCTTTCAAGAGTTTCCTTGTTCGTTCTGAAGGATTACGGCCTTGAAGAAATATACACTGTTTCGGACCTTCGATAGGTTTAGGCGCCTTAGCAAGCAAAACTTTTTTACCTTTCCGAGTAGTAGGTTTCCTGAAAAATGTAATGAGTTTGTAATAAGTGAAGGACCTATATTATTAGGGGGTTAAAATATAATAACATTAAATATTAATACTTTATTCTTTGCATAACTGCCATTTTATAGGTAAATTATTTGATTATTTCTGCAAATTAATTATATTATTCCAATTTAAACAATTCACACGTGTTTTAGTATTTGACAGAATTTGACTTGTTTCTTAGTTTCGTTTTTTTTTTTTATAAATTTCACGGCTTCGGATGAACTAGACAGATTACTAAATCACAACATCTAACTGCAGCAGCAATATACAACTATAATGCTAATCTGGTTCCGCAAATGTAATACAACGGATGAGGAAAAAGATAGCAGTATTTTGGTCAAAATAACTATTTCAAACCCTATTTAAAAACCGCTACTGCTTTTATAGACCACTAAAATTTTAAATGAATGTCACTGTCATGACTAATTGGGGGGATGTTTAAGTCAATGTTACCCGATTCAATTTTTTAACAAGGTATAGAATGATAAAATACATTAATATTTAACTAAATAAGTAATAAAGAAATAAATAATCGTATTTTTTTAATTTTACTGGAAGGAAACACTTTCCAATTCGTTTTGTACCGATATGTCGGCGGTAGTGTCAAATAATAGAAACATAATCACAATAGGTACTAGTAGAGGACGTGACGCGGACGTAGGTATACTGAATATTTTGCAAAAAATATTGTTAAAAATGAATTAATGGAGTTACATAATTGGCCCCCAATAATCGTTTATCGAATGAAGAATGTTAATAGGTATGCCAAATCGGTTGAAAATTTGGTATAGTAAAGCTTGTATGTATACAAACATATTAGTTTTTGTTTTAGTCAAAAATACCTTTTAGTTTTAATTTTATAAGCATTTAAACTTACGATAAATTTCGAGTCCCGCTAACAGTCACGTGACATGTGACATCATTTTACAACGGTCCGCTCCGCTTAGTAGCGGAGTCGCCGAGTTTGTGCAGTATTTTGTTTCAGTCTCATAATGAAATGGATGTAGGAAATAGATGCACTAATTATTTATCAACAAATACCTAGTGATTTCGTTGCCGCCGAAATGCGAGGAATAAAAAAGTAAGTTAACTTTTCTTGCTATTTAGAAAATTATTTATCTGTTTTAAAGTGTTTTGTTAAAAAAAATACCCAACTGATATCGTATTGCAAGTATTGCAACTCAAATAGGCAGAAGTACTAAACCTTTTAAATTTTACGTTATAGAGAACAAATGTGTGTTAGAGTTTTATAGGTACGTATGTACATATGTGAATATAGGTACCTCTTTTAGTAAATTTAACTAAACACATATATTGATTTATTGCAAATGTAGTGGGTTAAACAGATGTACTAAACCTTTTTTAATTTTCATTTGTCTTATTAATAGGCCGTTTTATTTATTTTTATTTGTAACTTATTCCAAGTCGGCAAGAGACGGCTTTGCTGATCATGCTATCGGTTACATATAAGTAAAAAGAGCAGTACATTAAAAACCACGAAGTTTTAAATGTAACTTGCGAAGATTGTGCCGCCAACAGAGGCTGTAAACGTACTATAGCATTTTTAATGTGGCTACATCGTCGAAGAGAAGGACGTAACGACTGTTATCAAATTTGTTGGATTTTTTTGTGGTTATAATAAAAATAACTATTACTTTGGTGGTTGTATCTGTACGTTTTGGCATAACACATGATTTCCTAGTATTTGGTTTGGTTATTTTTGAAGGTATTTATAATTTCTAATGAAACGTAAGACGACTCCGTGCTGAGAGCGCGAGCAGACTAAGCGACTGTTGTACTATGACGTCACACCGTCACACGAGTCCGCATCGCACGTTTACTTCTATAAATCAGAAACTAATTGACGTATTGAAGTAATTCTTTCACTTATATTTTTTATTTTTGACAGAGAATATGGAGGAGCTAATAATCAAAATTAGTTAACATTCTTCATTGTCATCAATATTTTTTTATATTAATGAATCGTCTAATAAAAAATCTAGTCTAATAAAAAAGAAGGTTTAAAATAATTTATAAGTTATTCTTTATGTAGGTATTATGGCCACAATTATTTTACAGTATATAAAAAATAGGGGTGTAAGTTTGATATTACGACTTAAAGTGAAATTTGTAAAAAAAATTGGAAATACGTCATAAGTGATTTGTCCATTGTTGACTCGTTTGTCTTCATGGATCCACTTGAAACGGCCTACTAGATAATATTCTGATCTTTTTTTTATTGATGAATGTGAAATTGTGTACCGCCCTGCGCTAACGGCATATGCTGACGGGGCACTAGTGGAAGAGCATGTAATCAGATCAGTTATTCCATCGTAGCGAATTCACCCGTAATTGCGTTTACATATTAACATTGGTTTACATACATAATTATATTGGTTTCCAGGGGGACAACGAAGATCTATCTGACATAGTACCTACATTCCTATCAATAGGTGGCCCTATTCCTAGTAAGTTTTAAAACCACCAATAAGTTTTAAAATGTACAACATATAAACAAACCACATATGTTTACCGTAGAAGCTTTGTTCCAATTTTTAATGGACGTCAGCCGTGTTTCGTCACGGAATACTGTGTATCTATATTATGCAGTAAGTGCTTATCCGGAGAGCCAATTCGTGTTGGAGCGCGGCGGAGATCGCTGCGGCACACGACATCAAGTCAAACTCGCCGTTTTGTGTAACTACTCTTTTGCTGCTGGATATATTTTACAAAATTGATCAAAAAGAAGACCACTCAAAAGTAAGCCCGCTTTTATTAGATATTAATTATCTGAATCTTACGTTAAAGAAGGGTCTTTAATGTAACGGACGTAATATTATTGAATTTGACAGAAATCTGATATATACCTAGCTACCGAAGAATTAAAATATATATTTTTTATTAATTTAAATTTTATTAGGAATAAAGTCAGTTATATAATGTGATCGTAATGATAGTATAATGTGATCATTAAATTGTGCCAGGCTTCTTCAAATGGCAAAAATAAATTAAGGAAACTACCCATATTTTTATTTGAAATATGTTCTATATAGTAATAATAATATGACATTAAATTTATGCATGATATTTATGTTCGGGGTGTGTACTACATAAAATTCTACTAACTTGCATAATATGAATTACACTATAAACTGTATACTTATTAATAGGCTACAAGTAATTAATAATTGTTATTAATAGGGTACAAGTAACTTATTACCTATAATTAATATACCTTATAAAGCTCTATCTCTAGATATGATGATTTGCGTTTGACGTGATTTGCTTTATGCCATATTTAGCTCTAGCCAAATACATAAAACAGCATAAAATAAAGAAATATAATATGATAGACCAAGAGAAGGATGGCCATTCTCAAGGTCACGCTGCCGAAGGTAGGTAAACATCGTTAACAAATTAATTAGTACAAAGATTGACCTCGCCCTATTTTCTGTAGCTCTATTTCTACTATACATTAGATTTATTAAAGGGCAAATGGAATAACGAAATTTTCATTCGTCTATTGTATATTGTCTCTTCAGATTTTTTAACATGCGACTAATAAGCGGACAGGGTACGTGATGCTAACTGTTTACCGTTGTCTACAGATATCTATAGAGAAGGATTGTCAGTTTACACCTTCTTCATGAATGGCAGTAGGTACTGGAAGAAGATATAAATAATATTATAAAAAATAGTGTGATGCGGGTAGCTATACAAAAATACGTAAAAAATTTGGCAGTATTGTCTTACCAAAAAAAAGTATTTGTTCAAAGTTAAAAAAAACACTGTTTGTATCCACTTGTTAAGAGTTCGCTTTGATCGTATAAACTAATATCATCTACCATAACAATAACAGCATGAATATATGACCGTTATGAATTTGTAAAAAGTGTCGGCAACCATTCTGTTTCTTTATATATACATATATATATTCCCTATATGTATACAGATATACTATCACGACAGCTATTCCTGATGGGATAGTCAGAGGCATTGCCAATTATCGTCGTCATGGTGAACGTAACATTTGACATGCCCAATTTCGCTGGCTATATTAGGATTCAACGTGGCAAGGGGCATCCAAGCCTACCGCCGCACAATCATTCACAATATTTTTTTTTATTTAACGGCGCTGTTTTCTTCATCGGACAGTCAGACAAAAATATAAATTGATACTAATTTCTTTTTCTGTTGTTTTTGTGTGTCGGCTAAATTTTAATTCACACTCTTCTATTAATACGGGTGTAATATACATATGATGTCGCCACTAGAGATATCTACTTACATAAAGGAACATTACAATATATTTTGTATAGGCAACGATTATTTTTTTTATAACACGCGGCTGACTAATCTTAAAGATTATCGCCGCCCATGAGCACCCGCAACACCAGGGGAGTTGCAAATGCGTTGTTGGCCTTTTAAAAAGGAATAAGTTCTTTCTTGAAGGTTTCAATGTCGTATCGGTTCGGAAATACCACTGCTGGAAGTTGATTCCACAATGTGTTTGTTCGTGGCAAATAGTTTCTAGAAAACCGCACTGAAACTACTACACTACTACTATCTGCTAGCCCGTCAGCTTGTTTTTTATTTCAAAATTGATGTACTCATTTTATGAATATTTATATATAACATATTGATACAATATTATGGTATCCTATGTCCATGAAAATAATATTCTTCCTGCCTTATCGTTATTCTCTAATAAGACTTTTTTTTAATTGACGTTCATAAATTAAATATTCTTGTAGGATACTTTAGTCACTTGTACAAGCTAAGTTATTTGTATTATTTTGTTACTTTTTTCTCTAGATATATATGATTTAATGAAGACATGTAAAACAATGGAACATGAGGATGATACAATTAAGTACAATATATACAATTAATTTAAATTGATACAATTTATTCAATTCAACTTAAATACAATTATCTCTATGTCTATCTATCTTAAAGGTATTGATGATAAGAACATATCAGCAGTGACAAGAGTCAAGGCACTATCCTTGCTTCACAGGAAAAGTTGTCATTTTGTTTATGTTATTTACTTATTGGCAACTTCCGCATGATTACCTACTTACCTACTAGCAATGTCAACTTCTTTCACATAATATTATTACTTAGTTAACATTAGTTAATCATAAATATATACACTTTACCATTCTATGAAATGGCAATTTTGAGAAAACAAGGTAATCAACCTAATATAATTTAAGCTCACTTAGTGTGTGATTGACCTTTTACTATCAGACTATCAAATATATAACGCCGTATATGTGGTAATAAAGCAATAAATTACATCAGAATCTGAATTTATGTAAGTGTCATGGCACATAGGTAGTGCGTATATATGATACTTCAAATGAAGTTGCTAAATCTGAAATTATTAAATGTTATTTAATCGACGTATTTATGAATTATTAAACTGTTGCTCAACATTATAAAGAAACTATATCTTTAGTAACTTCATTATAATCAATTAATTACAAAATTTTAAACGTATTTAATAAATCAAATCTGTAGGTACCTTTAAACATGTAGGTATTACAACATTAATCTAGTTATAAATAATGAAATATAGATATCAGTAATTATAAATAAATAATTTATTACAAGAAATTAAGAAACAAATAGCTTGATTATACGTAATTCATTTTTATACGTGTAGATTTTTACAAATTTATGGAAAATATTAAAAATGTCAATACAACTTCATCATACATAGTAGGTAGATATACACGCAGATGACCAGACCAGATTTTTATCTACATTAGCGCCTCCGAAGGAATTATGAAATTGGAATGTGTATAATTAATAAACTGCGACTACTTAAGTCGCAGTTTATATTCCACATTAAGTAAAAATACTACATATATACACATATTGGCAAGTCCTGGTACAATATAGAATACGTGAAATGTCTGATTTCGACCGTAACGTAATGGATTATACTCAAAAGAATATTAAATATATTATATTATTAAATATACGCTAATTACATAAATGTATGTAAGGACCTAACTACCTACAACCTTAACAATTTGACTAGAAAAATATTTTTCGCAGAAAGCTAGTTCTTAATGTAGAACAAGCTTTTCACTAACAGTGGCAAATATGAGATGAAATGGAAATATAAATAAAAACTTGTTAAATAATCTATTTTAGTTTTATACCATTTATCGTAGTTTTGAGATACTATATATACATTCATATCAAGTACGTGGGCTGTTCGCTCAAAAAATGTACACTGCAACCGGTTTATCAAATTTATAAGGAAAAACGTTACAAATTTATATAGAAAGCCACGCGCTTTCGATATCTTGCTTAAAATGTGACTATATACTAAAGTTGGAATTTGAAATTTATTATCGCAGGGTTTAACGTGTTGTCCTTGTTCATATTCAAATAATAACAAGAAATTTTCAACCTATGGTGGCATCAGAAAAACTTACTGTATATATACATGTACAGTATACATGTTTTGAGGATTCCTTTTAAATTGATTTGATTGCAATTTTTTCCGAATAATTGATTAATTTCTAAAATTTTATATACCTATATTTAGATATAGGTATATAAAATTTTACATAGAATAAGATTAGCTTATTCTGTGTTTTATTTTGTGATTTATATTCTTATCAACATTTCTAATAATTATATGTGGCAAATAATAATATAAAATTTTTATTTACTTTATTCAGAACTAAGTAGGAATAAATAATAATATTCATTACATATAGTATATCAGCACGCTCTACATTTTCTTGTATAATTCATGGCATTGGCACTTAAACTCGATACTGTTGACATGCAGACAGACTCACATAAGAAAACTAAGAAGCATTAGTTTCGACTGCTATGAATATGAAACAAGTAATTTTGTTTCCCATAACACATATATGTAGAACACAAGACTATCCTGCACCTAAAAAAGAAGTTTTACTGAGTACCTACTCCAATGAGTAGGTAAGTAAGTTAATACCTACTTACCTACCACATATTAATTAGAAGTTGATTCTAAAATGTTATACATAGATAAGATATATTTCCTTATGAAGTACTGTGAGAAAAGCAAAATAACGTACTGGCTCTACAATATTTGTAGAATGTAGTGTCGACATTTACAATGTAATTTTTTTTTTTCAACTATTAATTATACTTAATAAATCTAATAATTATCTAATGTAATATTTACTTAAACATTACAATATCTTAATGCGTAACACATAACATAACCCATCGTAGGCCAACAGATACTCCTGTATGAAACTCATTAGTAGCAAGCAACTCAAGACACACTTATGTCGATTAAGGGTTTCAATGCTATGTGCATGGCGCCGACCCTAAAACCTAAATAAAGTAACCCCAAGTTTTTATAATTGACTGGTTATCTCCTAATATCTGCGTAGATATTGTAGGTCAAGTGGGAGATATTTTATTAAACTGGTGACTTGTTATCAAGCGGAGGCTTGGCTATAATTATTAGCATCCCAATGATAACGTTAGATTGTCCGCGACGCGCAGACTCTTGGTTACGATACACTCGTGTCAGCTCGGGTGATTCAGGGGTCACATCCATTGTAGATACATATTGATAAACATATTTACTATTTCTGAGAAATACACGATTACAAATTTTCCTACGTCGCTATTCATACACAGAAAGTACCGAAACCAAATCCTTTTGCCCATTATCAATACAGGCACGTGTAGCAGACATGAGTACACAATTACACATAGGTACTTTGTAGACGAGGAAAATTATATCAATGTTGTAACCCTATATCATTTAATTTTCAATAGTAGTAATAAAAGCTTATTCAGCTAACTATATAACTTATGGCAAAAATAATTAAAATTTAGTTAATATAAAAGTTAATAAATGTCAGACAGGGCTTTTTTAAAACAAGTATTAAACTTTACATACAAAAAAATCATGTGTACACAAAATGAAAACCTACAATACATAACTATTATCCGCAGGTAAATTACATAATTAAACATTCATTACAATATTAGTAGGTTATATACACACATAAATACTTTGAGTACTATCTCCACAATATTTATTACTATGTTATTTAAATACAAAATGGTCAATATTACTTTGTTCATGATAGAATCATTAGCAGAGGCCGTGAAATGACAGTAGATAGGGTTCTTCAGACTTCTACGCAATTAAATATCTCACAGTAATTTATACCAATTATTGTACTTATTGTATTGTATCTATTCTTGGGACTAATAATTATCTTTTTCACTGAAACTATCACTTATAACAGAGATCTAGATTTATCAAACACTATTTTAAACCATTAGATATATTTACAAACAGTTGAGATAAAAATATGCATCCCTAATTAGCACCGATTTCGACTGATATATTTTTAAACTATGTTTATTCTTGATTGCAGTGTTGGAGAATGAAAGAAAAGATATAGAGAACCAAAAAGTCAATGAAGATCCATTAACAAAAGCCATAGGTGCCATTGGCAAATGGCAAATATGGATATGTTTCGTGGTATTTCTGGTAAAGTTTCCTGTGGCGTGGCATCAGATGAGCATCATCTTTCTTGCCCCACCGGTGAATTTCACTTGTGCTTCTGACCAGAGCACTGAAACCTTTAATAACATATGCAATGCCAGCTGTACAGATTATGAATATGACAGAAGTATTTTTAAGGAAACAATCATATCACAATGGGACTTGGTGTGTGATAGACATTGGATGAAAAATTTTACTCAAACGGTATTCATGCTCGGAATTCTTGTGGGAAATATGGTCTTCGGTCATCTTTCAGATAGGTGAGTATAACTCAACACAACATCCATACCAATGTGCAATAGATACATGTTGGTACATTTAATTAAATAAATTGGCACATCCTGTCTGTAAGATGAACTCACAAAGATGTTCCGGATAGAAATACTTTACTCATTGATTGTCGTCCTGTTTATATTTCTTGAACAATTGGCGATTTTATTATTGTTTGTTTATTTATTTTTGTCGATATAAATATGTACTATCATTTTTATATTATTAAATAAATAATTATTTATAATGTATCTAAAACTCACGCCAAGTAGTTAGAGATATGTAGATATAGCTTAATCTGAATATATATAATATTATAAACACGAAAGTTTGTAAGTATGGATGTTTATTTCTCTTGCACGCAAAAACTAATGAACGGATTTTGATAAAACTTTACAATAACATACCTTAGGTTTCAGAATATGTAACATATAGGCTATATTTTATATTGAAATTTAAAGCAAGTGAAACAGCGGGCACAGTTAGTAAGTCATAATTACGGATTTTGCGACTGCATGTCTGCACCTACTCTGCGTGTAATTTTTTGCGTATAAAATGTGCAATGGAAATTAAATTTCATAATTTACTTTTTACATATAAATGTAAACGTAATAAAAAATATTTTTGTTCTTATTAAATTACTCCTGTGGATAGGTAATTAAGTTTTATAAAATTATTAAAGTTATTTCAAAAACACTAAATATCTTGGATTTTAATAACTTTCTTTCATTTTTTTCAAAAATAGATGAAATAATAACTGTGGTTCCAGATACAAATGTAAACCTACATTTCCCAAATGTCGTTTAGATAAAGTCAATATGTTACATATTAATTCTATAATCATGTAAAATATATAATAAGATACCAGAAGATGTTTTGGATCTACATTTTATGAAATAGATTTTATTGAGAAATACTTAATATGTTCGTCGTTCGTTCTTCGTTTACAATTGTTCAACTATTGTAAACGAATACTTCGAATAGATGTCCATGTATGACTTGAATTCTTCAGGCACGGCATTTTAAATATATTTTTATTGCAGATTTGGGCGACGCATGCCATTCCTTGCTGCCGTATTTCTGCAACTTATAAGTGGAGTGGCAACAGCATATTCCATTAACTGGTACATGTTTACGACACTTCGTTTCCTCCTAGCTGTTGCCACCGGAGGCACTATGGTCACAAGTTTCGTACTCACCATGGAATTGGTTGGCGCTAAATACAGAGAATCTGTAGGAATTATCTACCAAATACCCTTTAACTTGGGCCATTTGTCATTAGCGCTATTTGGATATTATATTCGTGATTGGAGTAATTTCCAGTTAGCCATATCATTACCTTCAGTAATCTTCCTCAGTTATTATTATCTGTTGCCTGAGTCACCAAGATGGCTGTTAACCGCTTCGAAAACAGAAGAAGCTGTCAAAGTTATGGAAATTGCTGCAAAAAGGTAAATTACGGCACTTACCATAATAATAGTTATACTAATATATTAAGATAATAATGAACAAATTGTTTTATATGCTGTAAATCATACTAAACAATTTTGTTTTAAACAGAAATATTTAATGCCTCATCTCTTAAAATTTTCTAGAAATGGTCTACCTACAGAGGGCATTGCTTCATCGATTCAGAAGATGGCAGTTGAAATTAGCAACAAGCAGGAAGAACATGCATCCTTCTTAGCACTGTTTCGAAGGCCACGGCTACGGACGCGAACAATCGCTATATGCTTCAATTGGTTCGTCTGCGGACTTTGCTTTTTCGGAGTATCACAGTATATTGGACATGTCTCTGGAAATATTTTCACTAATGTTGCCATATCTGCAGCTATACAGGTAATTAAATTTATAAAAATATAATATGTAGTTGATCAAAATATTTTTAATATTACGTTGGCGCAATAAATCTTATCGTAGTTATCTCTTTATGGTAAAATATTTATAATTTTATTACAGCAAAAACATGACTTTACAAAAAAAATATTAACCTGACCCGTATTATCAATACCATTACCGGCAATAGCCAAAATTTTATTGGTATTGACCTATAACCGACAACTCCACCTCACTTTATTACTCTTACATCAATAATGATAAGTATTCTGGTACATTACTGTCTCTTTCTGTTCCAGGTTCCCGGAACTTTAATATCCATATATGCTAATAGACTTCTGGGCCGCAAGATCACAGTCATCAGTGCCAATTGTATTACTAGTTTGAGTTGTCTTCTCATCAACTTCGTTTCACAATCAGGAGCACTTCACTTATCACTAGGTTGTACAGGTTTATTAGGCATGAGTATATCCTTCGCTACAGTTTACTTATATGCAGGAGAACTTTTCCCAACTGTGGTGAGAAATTCGGGTGTGGGATTGTCTTCAACGGTTGCAAGAATTGGGTCCATGGTAGCTCCTTTCGTGGCTACTTTTTCTCACACAAGCCCGTGGTTACCCCCAGTTGTCTTTGGTATAGTTCCTTTAATCGGAGCTGGTCTTTGCTTCTTATTACCTGACACCCGCGGAAGAAAACTTCCTGATACATTGGAAGAAGGCGAAGCATAAAAGACTAGATCTCGTACATTAAGCTAGCTTAATCTAATTTAAGTATATACTAAAATATATAAGAAATATATAAGAATTTAAAGATATTAAAGTATTCTTGTGTGCCTTATTTAGTGTGTACCTGTTCTTTAATTTAGCATAATTTGTTAACGAGATTTTTTGTATACCTATGCAACGAAACCTGTTCAAATCCTTATAATGAAAACAAGGAAAATATTTCAAGGTCACCGGTTTCTTTGTTTGTTTATTTTAAGGAAACCGAGATTACTTTTATTGTACTTTTAAGTAGGCTGTGATATTTAAGATAGTAAACATGTTTTTTCTGAAATTTTGAATTTTTATTATAATTTTTAACATGTAACCCGTTTAAATCAATCCATTTAAACGGGTTGGTTACATTGATTGATGAGTTACATGTTGTTAGACCTACAATGACAGTCACTGGCAGTTTTTGTATTCTTTTTATCCATATTCAAAATATGATGTTCTTTATATAATTTTTATTTCATATTACTTCTGTCACAGCGCTCTGCAATAAAAGACGTCTGTTAAAACATCTACCTATTTTCATTAATTTTTACTGGTTATGGGCAAAAATGTTTCAACCTAATACTCAATCCATGGAATCTCAACGCGGACCGGCTACCAGTGCATCGGGAAACCCATTTTCTGCAAGTGGAAGTTTAATCCCAAGTGGAATCCCGCCGATCCCCAAGTTGGAAGGACGTAGCAATTTCGCATCATGGAGCTTCGGCATGAAAATGTTCCTAATCGACTGTGGATTATGGAACTGCGTCGAGTCACCGACCAGACAGAGGTCAGATTTTCAAAGACTAGACGAACAAACTTGCGCTGAGATCTGCCTCAGCGTTTCGCCCCGCATTTACTCTACAGTAAAATCGGGAAGAAACGTGGGCAAAGCTGCAACTTCAATATGCAGATAAAGGTCTAGATAGACGATTAAGCTTGTTAAGACAGCGACAGACGAATTCATAGGGGTCATCATGCTCGCTGGCTTACCAGAGGAATACAAACCCCTAATCATGGCACTAAAACATTCGGGAGCACGGATCACGTCAGATTCAGTCGCTACAATGCTTCTCAAAGAAGACCAGAAGCGTGCAACAGCTGGCGTATCCTTAACAAATGCCCTGATGTCACAGATGTCAAAGAAAACGTCAAAATTACAGTGCAAGTGCAAGAAAACGCAAACAACATATTAAAAATCAAAACAATGTAATTACATCACAAATTAATACAATTACAGATATAACACTTTCACTTACTCGTCATTTCACGCTCATTCCTCAGGTTCCCATTCCAAGGTTTCGTGGTTACTGGACTCCGGAGCAACTTCATACATGTGCGACTGTTAGAACGAGGTTTGCAATCGATGTCTAGACTGGCTGGTATGGCAGATGAAGTATGTTTGAATATTTGAAAAGAGAGTGTGTTTTGTCATCTTGTCTGTCGTCGTATTGATGTATCTATAACTTGTCTGTATATTGTATTAAATGTGTTTTTATATTATTTTATTTTGATTAGAAATATATTTTGTTTACCTTATTCTACGTTATTTACTTGAACACCACTATAGTTACTCTGTTAACGTGAGAAGTTCAGAGGTAACTTCCCTAACAGCAACAACAAAAACTGCTTCCAGGAAATGTCCACAATTTCGAAGCCAGTCTATACTGCCAACAACGATCACATTCCTTGTGAAGGCACAGGTACTGTCAGTTTGCCTCTATCTAACGATCTTAGTTCTATTACGAATGTATTATATGTTCCAAACTTAGCGACGAATTTATTGTCAGTCAGCAGTTTAGTAAGTAACGACTTAGTTACTGTATTCTCCAAACGTGGTGCAACAATTTTACGTCGACAGGATTGTAAAGTATCAAGACATATAGTAGCAACAGCTTCTAATTATAATAATTTATATAAACTTGATATGCCCTGTCAGACAAATTTAATAAATAGTAAACAAACAGCGTTACTATGGCACCGACGTCTTGGACATATAAATGTCAAATCCTTAAATATTCTTAAGAATAGAAAAGTAGGCATAGAGTTTTCTGATAGGTTTAATGAAACCTGCATACCGTGCTTACAGGGGAAATTAACAAAAAATGATTTCCGAACTCATTTAGTAAGTCGAGTGAATTACTGCAGTTAGTCCATTCTGACTTATGTGGACCAATGAGTACACACTCATGGGGTGGAGCCCTATATTTACTTACTTTTATAGACGACTTTAGTAGAAGAACATTTGGATATTTTCGCGACAGATAACGGTCGCGAATACGTGAATCATGAAATGAGCACCTTTCTGAAGGAAAACGGTATTGTGCACCAAACCACAGTCCCGTATACACCTCAGCAAAATGGAGTCTCTGAACGTGCGAATAGAACCATCATCGAAAAAGCGAGATCTATGCTTGAAGATTCCAAGCTGCTAAAAGCATACTGGGGAGAAGCTATAAATACAGCCATTTATCTCAAGAACCGTTCGCCTACACAAGCCTTAAATAACAAGAGAAGACCTGAAGAATTGTAGACAGGTACAAAAATTAACCTCTCTCACTTAAGGATATTTGGTTGTGAAGCCCACATTCTCATTCCTAAAGAAAAACGGACAAAACTGGAATCTAAAACTCAATCTTGTATTTTTATAGGATATGCTACAGAAAGCAAAGGCTATCGTCTTGTAGATCCCCTAAATCCTAGAAAAATTATAATTTCTAGAGATGTTGTCTTTGTCGAGGATAAATTTTATCAACATCCTGACAATGACCAAGTTCCATCCTCATCTCAGCAGCCAGATATGATTGTACCTTTTTATAATCCGGTTCAGCATATCCAGCCTACAGCAGAACAGGAAAGTCCAGTCTATGAACATCCTCATACAGAACCTGAACCTTTCACCTCTGCACAGCCAACAGCCACTGAAGAATCTAAAACTTCAGAAGTATCTGTCGAATCTGAAATCTCAATGGAACAGTCTTCCGAAAGGAGATATCCTCTTAGACACAGAGATCCCTCTGAGAGATATCATAATACCATATACCTCACTTCAGATTCAGAACCAGAGACCTACAAAGAAGTATTAGATCATCCACAAAAAGAAAAATGGCTAGAAGCTATGAATGCTGAATATAATTCACTAAGTAATCACGGAACATGGATTTTAGTTGACAGACCGACAGACAGAAAGACAACTAAATGCAAATGGGTCTTCAAACTAAAAAAAGATACAAGTGGCCAAATAGTCAAATATAAGGCCAGACTAGTAGCGAAAGGATTTACTCAAGTAGCAGGAGTAGACTACGGAGAAACCTTCTCACCAGTCTAACGACTGGATTGTCGTCAATACGACTATTACTGGCATTTGCTGTACAACACGATCTTATTTTAGACCACCTAGATGTGGAAACTGCTTTTATGAATGGAGATCTCGAAGAGGAAATATATATGGAACAACCAGAAGGCTTTTCAAAAGAAAAGGAGAAAGTTTGTTTATTAAAATAATCCCTTTATAGACTTAAACAAGCGCCACGCCAATGGAACATAAAAGTTTCTGAAGCAATGAAAAATGTCTCCCTTACGCAAACAGTCAACGAACACTGTATATATTACAAACGAGAGGATAATGAAACTTCCTTTGTTTCAAATAATATGCTACTAAATGCAAATAAAACTAAATGTAAAAATCTCTCAATGTAAGGCCGGTAGATTATCGTATTGGACAATAAACTATTAATTTTGTTGACGATACTGAATCACTCCAAGTTGCAATCATATTACTAAATTGGCGAGTCGACTTAGTTCTGCCGCTTACGCGGTAAGAAGAATTAGACAATTAACAGACGTGGCAACGGCTAAACTTGTCTATTTTAGCTATTTCCATAGCATTATGTCGTATGGTATTTTGTTATGGGGCAAAGCAGCTGATATAAATACAATATTTACTTTACAAAAGAGGGCCATTCGCTCCATTTATGGTATGGGTTCCAGGGAGTCATTGCGAGAGTGCTTTAAGGAATCAAATATCCTCACCGTTGCTTCTCAATACATTTATGAAAATATCATCTATGCCAGAAGGAATATAGACAGTTTCAAAAGAGTTAGTGATTGCACTAATAAAAGCTTACGTAACAATAACAAACTGATTTTACCTAAATGTGGTAAGGTTTTACAATAAAATACCAGAGTCTGTTATAAATCTGCCAGAAAAATGATTTAAATGTCAAATAAAACAGTTCTTTGCAAAAAAACAGTGATAATAATGTTTTTATAGAAAAACTTTAAATCTATAGCACTGACAATATATATTACATTAATAATGAGTGCGTAGCGACTTCTATGTTGATTAGCCTCTTACTTGTTATACTGTAATTATTTATATAAAAAAAAACATCTATTAAAAAGAGCAACACACAAGTTTCTTGCTCATTCTTCTTGTGATGAATCTGCATTCCGAATGAGTGGTAGAATCAAAATATGACTATTCAAAAGTGCTTGTAATGAGTTTATTTTAAAGATTATTTCTATTTCTTGGTCGCTGTATTTGTTGATGACTCTTTTATTTTAAGTACAAATGACAGGATGAAAAACGAATTTAAAAACCAACTGAAACAGCAGTTACCATCAAAGATCTTGGTCCACTCAAGGACTGTCTAGGTATGAGAGTAATACAAAGTTCCGACGTTATCACTCTCGACCAAACAAAATACATCGAGAAACTCATACAAAAATTCAATATGAATGACGCTCTTACAGCTACAACACCATTGGAACCAGGCCTAAAATTGTTAACACCTGAAACAGGAGACGAAAATATTGAAGTTCCGTACCAAGAACTCATCGGCTCTTTAATGTACATTGCTATTGGTACTAGACTCGACATTTCACACACAGTCTCGTACCTATCCCAATTCAATGCACATTACGGGGAAGTACACTGGAAAGCCGCTAAACGTGTTCTTAGGTATCTCAAAGGCACGAAAGACCTACAACTTCGATATAAACGTAACGGCCAAACATTCCCTACAGGTTACGTAGACGCGGATTACGGCAACAATCTTGTAGACAGACGCTCTTTTACAGGATTTGTCTACATGATGAGCGGAGCCCCTATATCATGGGAAGCACGCAAGCAGCGCACAGTCGCGCTTTCTACTACTGAAGCCGAGTATATGGCTTTAGCAGAAGCTTGCAAAGAGGCAATTTACCTCAAAACCCTCATCAGTGAAATATTCGCCGTCACTCATCCAATCGTCATTCATACTGTCGTCATAATCAAAGCTCCATAAAACTAGCACACAACAACACGTATCATGCACGCACAAAGCATATAGACATTAAACACCACTTCATTCGAGATTCACTAACATCTCATAATCTCATTCTCAAATACATACCTACTACTGACATGATCGCTGACATTTTAACGAAACCTTTAATGAAACTAAAACACTGTAAATGTACCCATTCATTAGGTTTAGGTTAGCTATCTGTATATTGTCTTAGGTTAGGTATTGTATATAGGAATTTGTTAGTGATCTATGTATATATTATTGGTGTCAGGCTTTAGTGTATAGTGTTTAGTTTTATTGTGTACAGTTTTAAGTTTTGATATCATTTTACTTATACAGAGTGTTCTCATTGCAGGGGAGTGTTAGACCTACAATGAGAGTCACTGGCAGTTTTTGTATTCTTTTTATCCATATTCAAAATATGATGTTCTTTATATAATTTTTATTTTACATATATTACTTCTGTCACTGCGCTCTGCAATAAAATACATCTGTTAAAACATCTATTTTCATTCATTTTACTCATGTTAAAAATCCATCTGATTAATGAATATTATTTGAAACCTAAATTAGTTTAATACAAAAGTAACATTCTTCAGCAGGAAGAAAATCATCAACATTAGTGTTAGTATTTGAAAATTAATTAATGTCTACTTGAAAAATAGGTAAATTACATCACATATTTTTATCAAAATACAGCCTAAGATAATGTTAAATTTGCTACTATTAATACATATATATTGTATTATCAGATATATAGAATTAATTGATAATAAACTTCATACATAGAGATCACATTTATCGAAGACAGTCTATTCACTACATATGATAGAGAGAGTTAGGTAGTTAGGAAAGCAAAAATAATGTCCGTGAAATGTGTATTTAAATATTGAGTATTTTCTGTACAAGCACTTATTCCTTTCCAAGACAACGAGAAAAGTAAAATAATAAGATGTCTACGGAAGATTTAATAGAAAAAACGATTGGACGTTTTGGAAAATATCAAACGTGGATATTAATTCTAATAACAATAGGTCGCTATCCTACTGAATTTCAATTAAACAATGTAGTGTTTATAATACCAGCCGTTGAATATCAGTGTTTGGATGATGGGGTATTCAATGCAACTAATTATTGTCCTTGTGAGAACCCCAAATACGATCAAAGTACTATTGTGAGTTCAGTGACATCGGAATGGGATCTCATTTGTGACAGAACTGCATACGCCAGTTTTGCACAGTCCGTGATCCAGATCGGAATACTGGCAGGCAGCCTATTTTTTGGACACATCTCAGATAGGTAAAATTCTCAGTATAATAGAAAATTACTACATGACCAATAACAAAATCTGCCTGTACATTGTACATAAAACCAGAACGGACAGCACTGAATATTATCTATAGGTAGGTACTTATACTCGTACCTGATTGCTACGCTTGATGATTCGGATCATCAAGCATAGCGCGGCATCAGGTATCCATCTGAGGATGCCGACATCATCAGTTAGATACCTAGTAATGATATTAAAAATAATAAATCTACTACATATCCAAGTAATTTTATTTACATAACTTAATTGTAAAACTATGAACCTAAAATTAAGAAACTTAAAAAATATAATATAATAACTAAAATATATTATTAAAAGGCGACCCTTTAGACAAAGTTCCGAAGATACTAGCAGCGTTCCCTCTTTGAATGGCTAGACTATAATATATATGTATATAAATATTTTAATCTATACCTATTATGAAAATGGGTTATCTTTTTTCGTTTTCTTTTGTAGCCTGCTTTAAGTGAACAAATATTTCTCTTTCGAATAAAAAAAAATACTACAATGCCAATTTTATTAGCGAGGTATTATTTTTCATAAAAAATAATTTCGATTTTAGGCTCTTTGAAAAAGTAGCTATTTTAAATTAAATTCTTTCTCACTACCTTTGGTGAACAAACTAACTCTAGAATACTGTGCCTACACAGTAATTAAGCAGTTTTATTTTTTTGTTTTTCTAGTTACTAATAGTTAGATTAGACCGAAATCAGCAATGAAAATAATAAATTAGGTCAAGTTCTTAGGATATAAGGGATTATAATTTTAATAATATAGTTTTTAATAATAATGTCTACAGAACTAGACGTTAGTGGCAATATTATATACATATATATATATATATATATATATATAGTATACTGAGCAGATATTTTAGTATTTTTCAAGATTCAAAGTGAAAATTCTTAAATTAAATTTGAAACTTTCTTACTACACGGAACACTACACTGTTAACGTGGACATATAGGTTGAAGACTTTAAAATATTTAAAGTATATCTGCTTTTGTTCAGTCTCATGAATATCATCAGCAGCCGTGAGTTTCTGCTTCATATATATATATTCATTACTTCGTGGATATATACTATTTACCCATGTCATTACATATGTTTATGACATAATAAAATATCCATTTATTTTAGAATTATACATTTTTATAAAGTCTGACATATGCAGGAACGCCCCTCAGTGCTGGTTAGAAGACATTCCATGCCATTAAACTATTTATACTGGTCCACCACTAAGAATTAAGAAAATATAATAATAAATATCTGTATTGAGGTCATCTACATTACGAGTTGATATATCTCAGGCCAAATTTTATCGAAATAAGTCTAATTTTGGATACAGTAACTGATCCTTAAGCAGAATTACTAATGTGTTTCTATTTATGATTAATAATATATTTTCTTGTATAATGTTCGAAGTAATAAAATGTAAATAGAACTCTTATTAGCAGTGGCTACTCAATATAGATGAAATCTATAGATGAAAGAGGCATAGTAATTCATCATAAGAGATTCTCTCCTCTTTTATTTTTACAGATTTGGGCGAAAACCTGCTGTATTGATGTCTTTATTATTTGAAGCGGTATTCGTGGCAATATCCGCAGTAGTTCCACAATTTTGGATGTTCCTATTTTGTCGATTCTTAATCGGGACTGCAGTTGGAGGAACAATGTTATGTTGTTACGTACTACTCATCGAATTGAGTGGCAAATCTTTTAGAGCATATCTCACTGGACTTCACGAAATTTCTTTTATTACTGGCTACATAATTCTTGCTGTCATAGCCTATTATGTTAGAGATTGGAGAAAGTTACAATTGGTCACGTCGGTACCGTGGCTAGCAGTCATTGTATATTACTGGTTAATACCAGAATCTCCACGCTGGTTGTTAACTATGGGAAGAAAAAAGGAAGCCATTTCAATTCTAATTTATATCGCAAAAAAGTAAGTAGCTTTTTTACCAGGACTATTTGTGCTATTTATATTTTGTTATCACCACATGTGAATAACATAAGAATAATATACCAACATAAGAATGTTCTTTAAATAAAAAATATATAAGTGCCCATTACAAAAATTCAAGATATATATATCAAAGGTTAATTACAATGCTTGACATCACCCCTTTGCTAATCATATATTTAAATGCGTGAGGACAAAAATAGTTTGAGAAATTTTAAAACATGGGCCTATAAAAATTAACATTTTATTATATATATGTTTTTGGAGGTACAGAATCAGAAACAAGTAACGATGATATAGATTTATAAAGCTTTTAAAAAAGCAATATTGAAAATATGAATTTTATTTCTCGCAATTACTTTTTCAGAAATAATCGTTCAATAGATGACATTGAAGTAATTGTGAGCAGAGAAGAAGAAGCAAGCAAACAGAAAGACCAAAAACCTGTCAGCTACCTCGATTTATTCAAAACTCCTAATATTAGAATATATACAGTAATCGCTGCACTTGTATGGATGTTCTGTTCGCATACTTTTTTCGGTGTCAATCAATACATAGGACGCTTACAGGGAAATATTTATCTTAATGTAATACTTTCAGCAGCAACTCTGGCACCAGGTTTAATTCTTGTCATAATTGGTACTAGATTTTTAAAACGAAAAACCAGTATAATTATTAGTTTTACTGTAGCAGCCATGTCACTGCTAATATTCATATTCGTGCCAAGCAACATAGAGACACTTATGTTACTTTTTGCTATTATTGGTCTGACAGGCGCCTATACTTCGTTTGTTCAACTCTATTTATTTACTTCTGAATTATTTCCTACAGTAATTAGAAACTCAGCTATGGGATTTTCATCAATGTTTGCAAGATTTGGAGGTTTTGTAGCTCCTTTTGTTGTCAATATTGGCGTAGAATGGATATCTATTTTAATATTTAGCTCTATTGCATTTGTGGCAGCATTACTTTGTTATTTTCTTCCCGAAACTAAGGACATAGTTCTATTGAATTCTATTGAACAAACTGAAGTTAATAAACATAAAATAATTCAATAGTAAAAGTAAGTCGTTGCTTAACTTCATATGAAAAATGAGATAAATTCATGTAATATTGTCTATAATAGGTTTAGCTAAATCTTAAAATTGCGAAAAACGTAATATCTACGTTGTATAAATTACAAATATGTAGCACATACATAAGATAAAAAAAGTGTTCATTAGGTACTTGTTTTAAGTTCTAATTTCATTAATTAGATTAGAGAGAAATATAATTTCTAATTAAATTAAAAAATATTTCATTATTATATATACCTACAGACAACCAAACTAAATACGGTATGCTGCAATCGTCACACTCAGACGTATCTATATATACTTATATGTACATATTCTGATATCATGAAATACACTTGAGTGTAAATATGACAATAGTAGCATACGTTAGTGCTGTAGTAAACATTTCGTTTAATTATGTCTGAAAATGTACTTGTTTAAAAATTGTAATGTATTTTATTGCTAAAATTACCATTCGCAATCTTTCAAGTAATTTATAACTAATAATTTATTTACCTGTGTTATAAAATTGTGCTTCAATATTAAAATGCCTGGAGAAGACCCTATAGAAAAAGCTATTGGAAGCTTTGGTAAATACCAGACATGGATATTATTCTTGATACTTCTAGGCCGTTCCCCCACAGACTTCCAATTGAATAATGTAGTTTTCATAATACCTAGTGTTGATTACAAATGCCTGGATGAGGAAGCAGCTAATATGACGAACTACTGTCCATGTCAAAATCCTGACTACGACCGTAGTGCCATCGTAAGTTCTGTCACCAGCGAATGGAATCTGATATGTGAAAAAAAATACTTAGCGAGTCTAGCGCAATCGATGCTGCAAGTAGGAATATTAGCCGGTAGTTTGACTTATGGATATATATCAGACAGGTACAGAAAATTTCTATTAAAACTGTAAAATTATAATAAACTATTGTTAACCAAAATAATCGTTCTAGATTACTTACCTACATATTAATATAAACACTTTTTGTTTTTACTGCAAACTCACGTAGATAACCTCTATATCATGTTATGAATTTTCAGATATGGACGCAAAATTAGCACCCTAATTGCAATGTTCTCCAATGCTCTCTTTATTGCAATATCAGCTTTAGTAACTGAGTTTTGGATTTTTATGATATTTAGATTTTTAATCGGTACTGCAGTAGGTGGAACTATGTTATGTGGTTACATACTGATTATTGAATTAAGTGGAAAATCCTTCAGACCGTATTTAATTGGCTTATATGAGATATCTTTCATCGTTGGGTATACCATACTCCCTGTTATAGCGTATTTTATAAGAGACTGGCGGAAACTTCAACTAATAACGTCAGTGCCATGGCTACTGGTCATTATATACTACTGGCTAATCCCAGAATCACCTCGTTGGCTAATTACATTGGGCAGAAAAAAGGAGGCAGTGGATATACTTATTTATATTGCTAAAAGGTAAGTGCTACAAATTCTTTATATTTTCTAATGCTTCATTATCAGACACTAGAAAAGAGTTTCCTAATTCCAGTATATTATTTTTATTACTTGCCTATTCTAATCAGATATCTTATTTTTATAATCTCGTTTACAAAGTACCATAACCATATTGTTAAAAGTGTATTTTTAATAGAATATAATAGATATATCGGTGTTTCTTATTACTTACTTTTTAACATGAGAATATAGAGTAATAGTTATACAACATTAATCTGAATAATAAATTATTGATTTCGAATACTTATAAATACCAAAACAGTACCTAATAACATAAAGAATGTTGTCCAGTGACCAATGTTATTATATTTGTTCAATGTTACAGGAACCATCGCTCCACAGAGAATATAGAACTTATGGTTGATGAAATAGAAAAGGAATCGATGCGAGAAACACAAAAGCACGGGACCTACTTAGATTTATTTAAGACACCTAAAATTCGCATCTATACCGTTATCACAGCATTGGTGTGGATGTTCTGTTCTCATACCTTTTACGGAATTAACCAATACATAGGACGATTGGAAGGAAACATTTACCTGAACGTATTGCTATCAGCTGTCTGCTTAGCCCCAGGTTTATTTGTAGTTGTATTGACTACTTTGTTTCTTGACAGAAAAGTTGCCGTCCTCTGTACTTTTAGTGTTGCCGGCATTGCGTTATTAATATTCATATTTGTTCCAACATACATGGAATGGCTGACTTTAACATTTGCCATCATAGGTCAGATAGGTGCATATACATCATTTGTTCAAATATATCTTTTCACTTCAGAAGTTTTTCCAACCGTAGTTAGAAATTCTGCAATGGGGTTTTCATCTATGTTTGGAAGGTTCGGTGGTTTTATCGCACCGTTCGTTGTGAATATAGGTGTAGAATGGGGATCGATTTTAGTTTTCAGCACGGTTGCTTTCAGTGCAGCAGTATTGTGTTACTTTCTCCCGGAAACTAAAGACACAATACTTTTAAATTCAATAGAGCAAACTGAAACATCAAAGGTAAGAAGACCAAGTCGAGAGAGTATCATTGCTACATAATGTATTTATTTGAAAGACAAAATTAGACGTTAATTTTATTACTTTTTAGTATCTACTTATCTTTATAACACTGAAACTTTATCTTTGGCATTGCTGAGAATTCACATAATGGTAATATAAATAATATGAATTAATATTATTCTTAACTTTTTACATATTCCTTTTTTCTAATAGTTTATATTGAATGTGTTGAAATCCCCCAAAGTACCAAGTTACAAATATAAAAAGGAACGTATGATATATCAGCCAAAATTGAAATATTACACTATTGTATATGGCATACAAGAAAATAATATCTACAACTGTCCAAAATAAAAATCCTATCTTCGCAAACCTCATGGATCGTAGTTTTCTTTGTTGTAATGTTTTATTTGAAGTAGGCTCTTTAAATTTACCTGAAACATAATTTTAAAAACTAATTTTATACAAAAGAGAAAATAAATTTAATAATTAAATAGTTATAAGGAACTGTTGCTAACAACCCTGCCTACAGCATAAAAAGTATATGTGTTCATACATTTTCTACAAAGTATCGAAAAGTTCCGTTACGCATCTCGTTCTTGCTTTGTCATCAGATATAATATAGAGAGATATAATAAATGTTAGTATAGAATTACAATTAGACTAGTCATCTGATAAGTTAAAGATAGTACAATAAGACAGTAATATTTAAGGTAAAGCCATTTATGTAATAGATAAAATTATATTGCATACATATACACTTTAAATTATATACTAGTTATGTAAAAAATTTTTTTCTATATATGGTTAACTTGTAACTAGTAAGGTAGTTATATTATATCCATGTTGTTAAATAATAAGAATTTTGAATAATGCATATTTTACATTTTTTACTTTTACCTACAGAAGCTTTTTCTAATTAAGTCTTGTGTACTTTTAAATGTAGATATATTTTAAACAGATTTTATTTTTAATAATTTTGTAGCAATATAGGAGATATCATATACTGGTTTACTTAGGACTTAGCATCCTGTGCTCTTTTGAAGTATTTACTTAGTTTTCAATAATAGGGACATATTTTTTTTATAATATAAAAATATGTACCATCTCTGTAGAATTGAGAAAGATTTTCTTCCTTTTCACGCCATCTATCATTGAGCCAACGTTTCAAAGCCTCTTCGTCTTCTGGCAGGTTATTAATATTATATCTAAATTATAAGAAATTATAAACATTCAATACAAAATCATAAAATGTATTTGCTTTTAATATTAGTCTAGATTTTTTTGTTGATATATTAAAAAAAAACAAAATAGAATTACTACAATTGGCTAAAAATCAAATTTAATTGTTTTTTCAACAATATACACAAGCTTCCAGTTTAGAAGTATTTACAATTCCAGATTCGAGAACATTATTACTATTATTTTCGTTCCCTTTCAATAATATTTTTATATGGCTTGCTATTGTTTTCGACAATCGATTAAACACTGTTCAAACGTTTTAAACATAGAATTATTTCCTATTAACTTTTATGCTTGCTTAACTATCAAAAATTACACTTTTGATTATAATTTAACTAACCGTTTAAAATAAAAGTAGACGTGTTTTGGCACTTCTCCTCGTAATATATCAGCCTCAGTTTGAGCAGGCTTATCGTATGCTATTGTGACATCGTATACAGAAGCTAGGCCAGAAGACCGTAGCTGCGTGCAGAGGGCTATCCATCCTGTGGTACGTGGGTGTAGGACGAAATTATAATACTGGAACGATTTATATTGTTATAAAATTTACCAAACATATGACTAAAACGGAAATCGTTTTATTTAACTTACTGGTAAGTTATTAGCCTCAGCAAATTTATTACTACGTCGTTTATTGTCTTCACTTAAATCAGTGCCTTCTGGGAATAACACAAGCCGACACTCGGAATGTAACTTTTTATAATAGTCTATGAATTGACACAGGTTCAGTTGGTCCTTACGCCAATCTCTCTTCACGTATAGGAAAAAGTTTAATTGCATTATCCAACCTGTATTATATAAAAATGTTCATTACAAATAATATTATTTTAGACCATTGTAATCTGTTATTGAATATGATAACTGCCGTCTTTAGAGACGATGAGAACTAAGGATATCATGGAATACACGGTGGCGCCTGTGCAACTTTATGCGTTGCTTAATCTACATAGATGCTACTTCAGAGGAAAAAAGCATTATTCCTAAGTATCTATTGATTTCACCATCTACTAAACCGGAATACAGTTTGGAGCTACTCCACGTGTACCTAATACATGAAAATGAGAAAACTATACCCACCTAACTATACTACACGTCCAAAGCTTTATACAAAGTCTTTCTCTGACTCATAATATCACGTTAAGAACATGTTGTAGATGCTATTTTGATGCTTAACTATGGCAATATAATTAACTCGTTGCTTACCTAATCCAGGGATTATTTTAATCTCATCTTTCAAAACAAATTTAAGTCTTGCTTTTCCTCTAGATAGCCAATCTAGAAAATTCCTATTTGTAAATTTCCTAGTTGACTTTAGCTTACATATACAATCTTCGTCTCCTGTAGTATCCTGTGCTGCATGATATAGAGCTATCCATACATAGTTCCAGTCAACTCGTGTGCGATGATTCAATATAATGATACTATTTTCATCAGGGTTTACATAGTCTCCATATAGATGCAACTGGCTTCCAAAAACACACTGAAAAAGTGCCTGTAAGTTTCGTGGATTTTAACGTACATGCTATAAACTATATATATATACATAAATATTCTCTTGGTCTTTTCTAAACATATTTGAAAAAAATATATGATTTTTAATATGTATCTTGAAGGTATACTAAATTCTATAACTAAAACTTAAAATTGAATATAATGATAAAATAAATTAGTGCCTAATTAAACAAATACTACCTACCACAGGATATAGCTCCCAAAGTGCGAAAAGTACATCAACTAGGTTTCGATACAGCTTATGATTGAAGAATATTATGTACATAACGGGACAATATAGAATGTAAAATCCTGAAATTATCAAAACGAGTAGAATATAGAGAAAATGTTCAAATCATGTAACAATTGGACTATCTACATTTTTTCAACAGTCTGGCAAATATTTTATGCTTATATAGAGATTACCTATCCAGTTTGGGAATGAGTATTAAATTATTTAAGTTACCAAGCACTGTTTTTTACGTTTTAGTAGGCTTTACTATAAATGAAGTCTTTCTAACAAACTCTATGTTTTTGCTGAATCGATTGTTTTATTATTATATTTTATATAGTGAGTCAACGTAAATGCTCTGGCAATTTATTGATAGCATTAGCACTTACCAGCTATAATTGTATAATACCAAATAATACACAGGAAGAGTCCCGCCGCCATGGCGCCGCAAACTAACACTGACTAGAAATGTTAGAGAAGCCCTAGAATTGCTAGCGTCTCTTATTAGAACCCCTACATAACTCACTAAGCCCTATTACACGGTCTTAGGTACTTACTTCTACTGTTATATATTTAACTTGTTTTACTACTATATTTAATTTAAATGTTAGATAACGCCAATGTGGTATTAATAATTAATGCCAATATGGTTAATATTGAAATAATATATATTTAAATTAAAATGCATAAAGTAGAAGTTTGTAAACAATTTGTATGTCTGTAGTTACCTATTTGCTCAAATCTTTAACTTGTTCTATAGTCAACATCAACTCACATTATTTTGTTGTCCATAAAGTCGCAATTCTGCATGTAAGGCGCTAACATTGCTCCAATTCCAGTCATTATAGAGCATATACCTATCGCTATATACGTTACGACCCACTATTGGAAAACAATTCCAAACCATATAAATACACCACGATAAAAACCATAAATAAGAAACGAACAACTGAATAAAACACGAGCGCAACCAAATGCAACAAATGCTGCATCTTCGCTTCAAATACCGGACCGAAATTATGTCGGTCTGAGCCATAGTTCGAACTGGTAGAGGTGCCCATAGACTAAAGACATATGCGTCATGCAGAAACTGGTCTACAATTGTTCCATAAATTATTCTTTGGATTTGGAGTCTCATCGCGTGATTGAGATGGCACTAAAATGTAGGTGTTTCTGGTAATAAACTGTAAAATAATAACATAACATTTGACAAAGATATTCCATAGTAGATTTGTACAGTCACTTATCAAATATCTAAATAGGCCAATATCATGTAACCTAGAGTAAAGGGAACGTGATAAAACGCTGACACGACGCATCTGTTTACATTTCAGACGTAGGTATATCATTACGATAACAAAACCCACTACAATAATACCACCGATCGCAAATCCTAAGATTATTCTAGCAATAGTAAAACTTCAGGAATCTGGTATGAAGCATGCTGTTACTCCAGCGAATGTTTCTGAGAAGGTCTTCGGTCATATCTAGATGCAAAAAAGTCGATTTTGTACATAATAAATATTGAATAAAGTAAAAATAAATATTAGGTACAGGAATTCTTATATCTATTTATAATTTGTATAAGAATAAAGTGAACAGTAAGTTACTTATTAGCTTATCCATGCATGCATATACTAAATTATTTTGAATTACTTAGAGGTACTTGCCTTACGTAAATTAAGGTAGATGTGTAGCATAAACCATGTATGCAAAGTAATATACCCACTTAATGTATCATCATCTGCTAATTTGCGTATGTAGGAACAAACTTATAACAGCAATTTGTCAACGGAATTGTCAATGATCACCATTTGTGGAAGTAATCATGTATTATTACGGGTATGATTGAATAAGTGTCATTATATTATTAATGATGATATTATGAACAAACGTACTCATTTAAGTAAATAGAATCGGGAAGAAATAAACAAAATCAAATACAAAGATAAATCTGCTGATTATTCTTTTCAATAAAGTAGGTAAAAAAAAGAAAAAAATCATCTAGTAATTTGACATTACTATAGTTAGGTTCCACGAAAATATATTTTAATGAATACAGGTTAACAAACTGAGAGTTACCTATCTTGTTAGAAACTGTTAAAGACCATTTCCAAATATAACTCCATAATAACATCACAGGACTGAGGCCTAGGCCGCACTTAAGACCTCAAACCCATAAAACAATGCATGTAATGCTACTTCAGATAGCAATCGATAAGACAACAATGATTGACAGCACAGGACGGTGGGTTACATAATACTACAATGCTAGTTAGGCACCGTCACGTATAAAAATAATAATACCTATAACTTATTTTACACCTTATATATTGATAGATAAAATAATAAAAGAGAAGATGATAAAAAGAGTACCTAGAGTTAAACGAAAGGAAATTACAAAATTTTAATCCTTTTTAAAAGGATTTGCTAACTAAAGTTTACAATTAAAAATCATCCTCTAAGAACCTACCGTATTTCAGTTCATTTATAGGACAGGACATTTTAGCCGCTTATGAACGTCAAATTTTTACATTCTAATTTTATTTTTTTTTCCTACCGTCCAGTTCGGTATAAAGATCCAATTGAGAAGAACTGGCAAGAAACTCAATTGAATTACTTTTTTTTAAAGCCAGTTTATTTACAATGTATATTTATGTAGGTGTCTATGTCTAACATTAAATGAAAATTCAGTGCATGAACAACTATTGCCATGCACACTCGTCATTCAAGTAATCGTTTAGTGAGTAATAGGCTTTTCTCAGTAAATATGATTTAACAGATGTTTTGAATTTATTTAAGGGTAATTCCAACATATGCTTTGGTATCTTATTGTAAATTTTTATACCTATTCCCATAAAAGATCTATTAACTTTTCTAAACGATACTTGGGGACAGCAAGTTTGTCTTTAAATCTAGTATTAATATTATGAATATTGCTGTTTTTTGGAAATAAGTTCAAATTCTATTCCATTTCAACATTCCTTGTATTTTACTATCTCTATATTCTTTTGATTTATCATATACAGGATTCTCACAACGGGTACTATTAATGTTTGGAAAATTGTATTTTACCTGTAGAACCAGAAATATGGTCATTTTTCATCAAATTATTACGATGAAAAAAATCCATACATGATATTGCCCAAAATGTCCAATCAGTTCCTTTATGAACACGATATTTCTAATTATTCATAACAATATCACAAATTCCGTATTGAGGTTACAAATGTGACCAAGTAGTACTAATCTAATAGGCGTCCCTATGTTTGCAATAGTACGCAATATCATAGCTTATACCTTTGTATGAATTATTTACTTTGCAACTACAATCCGAGGTAAGCGCATTCTCAACTGTAAATGCGTAGGTGAATGCAGTACTTGATAATTCGTATGTAAATCATTTTTTTTTTCTAATAAATGATTTTTTATATTGCTGCTTTAAAATATGTACCTAATATTGTAACATATTTGCATTTAATTCTTAACTTTCTCTTTCATTTTATTAAATAAGGACTTACAATAAAAACCACCAGCATTAATTAATTTCCATCCAATCATTGAAATAGTAAGTGATAAAATTAATAGACTTAAATCCCAGCATGTATTTCTAAATTTTGCTACATTTATTGAAAAATCTGACATTTCTACGAAGCCGACTGTATCCTCAATCCGAATAGAGTAAAGTGGGTATTATTTTTAAAAATATATACATAACATATTTATTTAGATTGTAGTAGTACATAATAATTACATTTGCTTAAAAAATATATATACAAATATATTTTTTGTCGTAATTAAAATCACCTATTGATAAACAAAACATTTATTCATGCGATCATATATTTACACAGAAAAAAAAATAACCAGTCTTAATTTTTTTTTATTAAATATAAAATATTAGTCACTTTTGTTGGTAAAGATATTTTCCTATAACAGTGATTTTAATAAAGTGTTTTTAAATGATAATATTGTAGTACATTTACCAAGACAGCCTAAGAAGTCTTGTCTCTTAAATAGATCATTGTCCATAACAATATAATTATACTTTGAATTAACAGGTGCCTATACTAATTAAGAATCCGTTACTAAATCTCAGTTATAATAATTAGTCGACAGAAAAAATACGAGCATATAGATATATTTCGACTGTACCTATTATTATGTATGTACAAATTACAATAATGTTACGCCTAGTAGAATAAATTTACATTTCGTACTATTGTTAGTTTTTTATTGTTATTAGTTTCAAAGACTTTTATGGGCTTCATGTTTTTCCAAGGCATTAGTATAACGTACCATAACAACTCATTAACACTTACTGCAGATAACGGCTCTCTTCATACAAAAGAAACTAACAACGGTGGCGAACCAACTTGGTATACTTAATTCCAAACAAAAAACCCCTGGCAGTGCAGGGAGTTGTAGGTACTGGGTATTGATATGCGCATTGTTTAATCCTCTAGTTCCGATTCGAAATATATAGGTTATAATTATGAAAAATTATTCCACATTTCAGACTCGGGTCTAATTCATTTGCAAAATGAACTACTTGGCGACAATACACGATATAAAAGACAAAGACGACTTTATGTACTGTCTGCGATAAAGACCAAACACACTAAATAACAAAACGTCCGTGAATTTATTCAAATAGTGAATTATTTGCTCGTTTGTAAAATGTATAGGACGCAAAAGTACTGAAGAATATAACATATGTTTATTTCATTTCGTGTAATTCTATCTTTATTATCAATATTAATATTTGTACAGCGTCAATTTAACTTTAGGCACGTCTCAGGCATACAAACTAGAGAACTAATATATATGGAATATTCTGAAAATATAAATAATTGTTATTTAAATTTTAAAATGACACTATAATCGAACAACTGACAACCGGCTCAATGATAAATAATAAATGAGCCCAAGGTTTCACATACAAAAGTAATGTCCTTTTGTCGCGTATCACACACGTAGTAATTCATGTACATGTATGTAGATTTGATCAAATACATCAATTTGTTTTGAGTTCCTAAATATTTAAATAACGCCAACATAAATGTGAAAACTAAAAGCACCCAGCACCCCAATGTTTGTTATTAAATTTTTACTTTTTTATTAAAACTCTCAGTATTAATTGCCACTAAACAGTTCTTCCTGTAGGCACACAAGCACATCAACTTTTTTGTATCTATCATCCAGTGACTTGCTCTACACTGGATTGACTGTTCCGTTGAGTTGGGGATACTGTTTTGTAAGGGCTTTGTTCTCGAAGATTCTAGTTTTTGGATAGCACACATAATTTATATACCGCTATAGCTTCATTAGTTATATACCACCAGGAAGGAGATTAAGAAGTAGGTACTATAGATATACTAATAAATACTTTCATTACATTCGTGTAGGTATGTAATATAATATCAAAATAACATATTTTCTATATAGATAATTTTCTTTTTATATACATAGATCTGTATTCACGGAGTACGGTCTGCGTAGTACCTATCTTCTTACTCTACCGATTCCAATAAGTTGTTATACTTGAGCTAATACTCTCTTATGCACATCATACTATATTTTATATCTTTATATTTATAACAGTTACTATGCTAGATAATGTTAATCTATTGTAATAACACACTGTTTCACACTAACACACAATAACACACCTTGCTCTTATATTATAAGCGGAATAAAATAAAATAAACAGATGTTTTTATCAAGCACATTGTTTGTATATAATTTACTATATTACTCCATTGTCGTATTTAATTACTTTACTTTAAACATTCTTTAATTGTAACTAAAACATATATTAACACAATTATAACTAAATTAAAAATAAAACTAATAACGAGAAGTTTTACAAAAATTAGTGAATCAGGACCTGGATAGGACCTCATAGGAGCCTGGTCCTGATTCACAAATTATTGTTTTTATTTAACTAGTTATGAATCTAGAAACACGCAACCCGTGTTCTTTGAGAACGTATATTATCTGTCATCAATCGCCGATTCACTATAGTTTGGTATTTTTTATTAGAATAAGGGTAAGGTTAAAATGAACAAGTGATAAATGAGTATTAGTAAAATTGTCGTGACATTCTTGTTATCTACCTAAGTAAATCGAGTGTATAACCTTCGACTATTACAAATTTACTGTTAAATGTAAATTTGAAGTCCGTTTATCTATCTCAAAAATAACATTAAAATAGTAGAGCAGAATACAGATTCCGTTAAACATATAATATAACGCATACTACTTCTTTATTGGAAAATTTTATAATTATTATTATTATATTTATTTAAATGCATACCATATGCCTGAATATCTACATATACAGAACAAACAAACAAACTCGCCCTCCTCTCTTCTCTTCTGTTTATTGTGCCCAACAAGTTCCGTAATTGATATGCTGATATTTATTTTTTTATGACGTAACAACTGCTGTAACATTATGGAATGTCATGAATAAAATAAATATTGTGTGTTCTTACATCTCTACTAGCTTTTGGATGCTTTCTGTATGGTTTTCAATTATATAATATCTCTACCTACATTTTTAACCGTTGATTAAAACCAGATAATTCTTAATTTTTACATAGCACATATGTACTAAAAATAATGCACCAACAAGATTAGTAGTCAGTACTACTAGGCTAAGCTTCATGTGTAGGTATTTATTTCTAACTCTGATATCATGTATTAAGATAGAAATAAAGTGAACATATTTACATTAAAGTCTTCATTTTATTAATAGCATTACTTTTCATTAAACATTTGTTACAGATTAAAAAACCTTAATTCATCCAAATCATCCAAACCTTAAATAATATAATAAAAAATGTACGCACTTTTACATATGTATAGACTTATTTTGATCACTTGCAGGTTTTTTACCGAAATTTTCTCCTTCTTCTAATGTGGTCATAAGCTGACAATTTTTTGTCTCAGGTAATAGGAAGGTTGTACACCCAGCTATGAGAGGTAGAATGGCAAATCCTAATGGTGGTAACCAAACTGCAACATCTCCCAAGCCAATAACAAAGGGGGCTATCATAGACCCAACTCTAGCCATCATAGATGAGAAGCCAACAGCAGCGTTGCGAACTACTGTCGGGAACAATTCTGAACAATATAAATACACAACAACAAAAACTATAAAACTAGCTACAACACCAATACTTGCACAAATAACAGTGCCAATACCTTCGCCTAATATAGGAAGAATTAACAAACAACATGCACAAACAAAGTTGAAAACTATAACCAGAGTTCGTCTACCGAATAGTTTTAAGAGGGGTATAGAAAACAGAGTACCGATCAGTGTAACACTAGCACTGGCTGCCACGTTCAAAAAAATGTTACCACTTAACTGGCCTACGTATTGAGATACACCGTAAAAACAATAACTGCATGTCAACCAGTTGAATGACATTGCCAGTATATTTTTCCTGAGATTTGGAGTCCTGACTAAATCGACGAGAGATCCTTTCTTGAGTTGTGTGTTCTCAGCAGCTTTTTGAAAATTTTCTACTTCGGTTCTAATATGTTCAGTCGGTCTACCGTTTCTGTAAATAAAAAAAGAAGTATATATAAGAAAAAGACGGGTAAATCCAAGTCACAGGGTATAAAAAAGGTAATAGAATTAATATCAATATTCTGTCTGGAACTTAGAATAAAACTATAAAGCTGTTGTTGGTTATCCATTACAACAAATATTAATATACAAGCGACCTGCCCCGGCTTCGCACAGGTGCAATGCTTATACTAAATATACATAGTTACCTAAATTTATCTGTATTTCTCTACAATAGTATGCATATAAACCTTCCTCTTCAATCAATATATTCAATCAATCAATCAGTTGCGTAGTTTAATATTTTAATCACACATAGTGACAGACAGCGACAGCGACTTTGTTTTATACTATGTAAAAAAAGATATAATATTTGGCTTGATTACAAAATTGTGAGTCAGTTGACTACAGAAAGTAAATATATATATATTAGTTATTTATGAAAAAATAATAAATGATATTATTATTATATAAATATTCTATTTATTGTCGTTAGAATATGGTGATTACAAATTTTCACCAATAATTTAAGTGCGATTACTTTAAATATGAAACCATAGTAAATCATTTGCTACCGACCAAATAAACTATTCAACTATCTATCATCATACAATAGATATTACTGCACAGGTATAAAGAAATGTACGTTTTTATTTTATTTAATTGTAATAAATTACTGTAAATTTTAATATACTTACACTCTAGCAACACGTTCTAAAGTATGGATTGCGTCTTCAGTTCTCTTGACAGCTATTAACCATCTTGGTGTATTCGATAGAAAGAAGAAGTAGCACAGTAAGGCGATTGTTGGGATAGATATGGAAAGTTGAAAAGTTCTATAATCTCTGAAGAAATAGCTAAAAACTGGCAATAACATGTGACCTATATTAAAAGGAACTTGATAGAGAGCTGAAACTATGTCTCGGTATTTTGTGCCTACGTATTCCATAACGACGACGAAACCAACCACCATTGTTCCACCAACGGATGCTCCAATTAAAAAACGGACTAAAGTAAAAGTCCAATATTCAGGCATAAACGCGGCTCCTATACCCATGGTCACTTGCAATACCACAGCTACTAATAGAGGTGTTCTTCTTCCAAACCTTAAATAGTATAATTAACTTTTAATTAATTAATTCCAAATAAATTATAGAAATGTACATGAACATTAAATAAAAAATCACCTGTCGCTAGCCATTCCGAAGACTATGCTGCCCACTAATGTGCCCAGTTGAAACAATGTTTGCGTAAAACTCGTTAGCCATTTTTTACCGCAAATTAAATCCCATTCAGTTACCATCGTAGATGTAAATACAGTATTATCATAGGAAGGATTTGAACATGGGCATGTATTATTTGTATTTGTATCCGTGCAAAGGTACGACGTCTTTGGAGATAAAAATATAATGGCCATTTGATGAAATGCAACAGGAAACTTGTTCATGAATATTAATACACATATCCAAAACTGATATTTGCCAAATGACCCGGTAATCCTGACAACCACGTCTTTTCTTTCATCTGCGGTAACTGTTTTGTCATCTGAAAAATACATTTTTAATTAGTGATTTTATTGACAAAAAATATTTAAAAAAAAGTGACGAGCATATCCAATAGGAGTCTGTAGCAGTTTTAAACATTGTATTGTTGTTTAATTTCTATGACCAACTGAGAACCTGATGCGATCAAGACATATTTTTATTGATATGTTAAACCTGTACCTGTACCTCTGTCCGCCAAGCAACTTTGTAACATGTCTTTCGGTTAAAGGATGAGGTAATACATTGATTGTAGTATTTTAATATTATTCAAATTGTTTTGCTTTTGTAACATAGATTATATATACAAATAAATAAATTTCAGAGCCATGACAATATACATACATACTTATTATAAAATACATAGGTGATGGCACCAGTCGCCATCTGATAGGCAGTCAGCCTATTTCTAATTACATAAAAAAAATAGTCAGTTATAGCTAAACTTTCGTGTTTACACACATTTTAATATACTTAATCGGATCTCAATACCAAATCTTCGTGGTATAATAACAAATTACCTAACATAATCAAATTTCTTAATCTGGGTATTTCAGAAAATTAATCACATACTTGATTGTATAATTTTAAAATAAAAACAGGAAGATTTCAGATGCGACTTCAATTACAATGGTATAATATATTATATACTTATGTACCTGTCAAATTTAATTATTTTTAAAATAAAATATTATCATATTCAATTAATTAGGATGATAGGGAATTATAAGATAAAATTTATAATGCTTCTCTTGTAAACCTGTATCTATTTAATCAGTAGTAAAATAAAGATTATACAGTGACAGGTTTAGACATGAGAGATCAATGATATGACCGAAACGCAACGGTCCGGTGATTTTCAAGTACCTTGGCATTTATTGTCATTGTATTTACAGAAAAAGAAGATAAATAAACTATAGAGTTCTGTCTCTTTCAACATCAATGATAACGTATCAACAATGTACACTTTCCTCTAGAGAAGCAGTTGGCCTCCGTACCTTGGCATTCATTTGAATTCGAATTGAGGCCGCGTTCGGTAAATGTTATTAATTTCCAAACGCGATTAATTACAATGTAAAGGCGCACTTCATTCATGATATAGTATTGTAAAAGATACGAATATCAGTTGTGAGATATTTTTTTGTATTTTATAATACAGAAAATTTATCAACGTTATATAGAAATGTGTAAAATGACGCTTATATCTTATCTTTATTTATTACGACATTTATATAGATAATAAGTTTAAATTTTATGACGTGACGTACTAGTTAATTCCTAAAATGAATATTAGGATACCTACTTCTTGCTTGTTCAAGATCACAAAACATTTTATAACTAGAATTTGAAACAGCTTTGTTCGTTCTGATATAATAATTAATATAGAACTATATAAAAATACAAAGATTTTTATTCAAACTTTTACTACATCTATTACAAAATAGTATTATTGAGTCTACTTTGTCGTATAATTATATCTAAGTTTATCTAAGTTGTTGTAGATTGTAAATCATCAGACAATCAATGTAAGAAAAATGTCTACTTTCGTGCTCGCTTATTCTCCGTTACCTGACGTTTCTAAGTAAGTATGGATAGTTGAGCACTTTAAAATGCAGCTACTACAACATACTACGTGATACGTTAACAAATGCAACTACAATAAGCATAGATCACGTTTTTGTTTTACTACCGGTGGCAGATCTCAGTGGCCATAAACTAGCGACCTTATTTTTTATCATAATTTTATTCCGTTGACTTGGTGCTTATGTACCGCTTATATTGTCGAGTAAATAAGCAGAGAAATAATTATAGTAATTATTATGACTAAGACTTTGAATATTTTTTACAGATGCACAAAACACGTCTGGTTATTTCACAAAATTTGTTTTTTATCTGTTCAAACCACACAGAGTTAAAACATTTTAGTATTCTTATATAGTTACCTAAAATATATTCTTTAATGACGATGTAAAAGGCTACTTAAAATCAACCAGGAATAGGAATAACTTTAAAAATCCATTACCACATATGTAGGTAAATGCATTTAAAAAATAGAACAAAATTTATTCATAGATATATGATACGGCGACAGCACACGAGTGATTGCATAAATAGGTAGTTACATCTCATGACCTTGACAATTAGTAATGAATTTAATACAAGTCACAGATGACTTAAATAATACGGCCAAGTTCACTAGAAATTGCATAATTTATAGGTATAAGTTAAATATGCTTACACAAATATGTTTTTTTTATTAGGTATCTATAATTGCAAAGAAACTTGTCCTATATCACAGAGTAATTTAATAAAAGTACAGTCTAAATGGCTAGGTAGTATTAGTGAATCTTGGCATTTTAAACATGGATTCCAACTGTTATATCTGTACTAACGAACAATAGAAAATCCACTGTACTAAATTAAACATAATATGAAAGTTTATATGTAAGAACAAGTTTGTAGAATGCAGTACGGAGGTTGACTTGAGTTTTTTTAGAAATAAAGTTACACGTTTTTTGTAGTTCAAAGCTTAGTAGGTAATATTTTACAGTGGGCAAATGGAGGATAAAAATTGTCGAAAATAGCTTATATTTTTAGCATGTTCGATGTTTTAATATTCTAATACAGCGGAGAGCAATAGGAACTTTGTCTATTTATGACTGCTATTATATTAATAATATCAATAACATCAGATAAAACAGAGACAACCACAGAGCTGTTTTATTTAATAAATAAATATATTGGAATAACACAAGTTTAATTCTATCATAACTTCATTTCAACACAGTTAACAACGACAATTTATACTTGTCTATTGGCTATCGACAACTATTATATATACATGCATGCGTAGTTGGTAATTATATATCTAATAATAATTACTTACTGGCTATATTGTAGCCAATAAGTAATTAATGTGTTAACTCACTATATAAGTTCATCTGTATCAAAATACGCAAGTACTATTATTGATATTATCTTATCTATCGCGTTACGAATAAACTGATTAATAATAATAAACCTATATATATATTTATGTGATTATTAAACACATTTAATATTAATAATAGTAGTATAAATAATAAACTTTGCAAGTTTAGGTATTAACAATTATTTATTTCATATTGTTTTCAAAACTTTTAATTATAGGAAATTGTTTATTTTTTACGCTTGTATTACGTGTATATTTTACGACAATAGATTAATTTTAGTTTGTGATAAATAAAATTGAACCGAGTCTATTTTTTATTTATTATAAACAAAACTTTATTTGTTATATACAGTAAGATGCATTATCAGAAGAATGATAACTTCACCTTTGAACTCTCTTTGGCGATACCATTAAACTATGTAGAATATTCAGTACTCATTGGTTTTATTATATTGTTATAACTGTCCTTATCTCAGTCATAAAATTATTTTTCTAAAAAAAGTACTTCGATATATATTAATACAATTTCGTTAAATCACTCTGCGACGTAATACTTATCACTAATGTGACAGTTACTGTAAATGTAGAGTTATTACAAATGTTTCTAAGATATTTTAGTTCTTTCGATAGAGTATAGTTTTGTTACTCTATAGACGGTTATAACTTAAAAACATATGTATTATTTTACCTGTTTTAAACCAATAAAACTGTACATATATAATTAACATGTTTATATATTTGTATATCGAAGCCCATCTCACACGACGCTATTTATAAGCTACGCGACTGCGACCTATCCACAGGTTGCTTATAGAGCAAGAGCCCACGACTGCCAGACATACGTCATTTTAATAAACGTGAAAGTTCTTGTATGTGTGTCCCCAACACAGGTAAGAACGATCCCCAAATATGAAAGATCGTGGTTCCTTTGGCAGGTACCAGGTAACAAAGGTGTAAAAAAAATCATACCAAATTCGTTATTTTAAGAAACTCCATATTTTCATATATTGTTCGTAGCACTATTATAACTTGCGCTGCTCATTGCCAGACACGTAGTGTGGTTCCAACCCCCCGCCGGACCCCCCTAAACTATACTATTTTAGAAATAAACTTACGTCATTTTAATAAAGCTGAAATTTATATATATTATTGAGAGTTCTCTCAAACTGAGTTTCCTAAATTGCCAGACAGTTTTCTTGGTTCCTTATCCTACCAGACTTATTGAAACCGTATATTGGGTAACAACGGTGTATACAATTTCATATCAAATTCGTTATTTTAAGATGCTCCATTTTTTCACATATTGCTCGTAACAGTATTATAACTTGCTCTGCTCATTGCCAGACCCTTAGTGTGGTTCCAACCCCCCGCCGGACCCCCCTAAACTATACAATTTTATAAATAAACTTACGTCATTTTAATAAAGCTGAAATTTATATATATTATTGAGAGTTCTCTCAAACTGAGTTTCCTAAATTGCCAGACAGTTTTCTTGGTTCCTTATAATACCAGAATCATTGAAACCGTATATTGGATAACAACGGTGTATACAATTTCATGTCAAATTCGTTATTTTAAGATGCTCCATTTTTTCACATATTGTTCGTAGCATTATTATAACTTGCGCTGCTCATTGCCAGGCACGTAGTGTGGTTCCAACCCCCCGCCGGACCCCCCTAAACTATACTATTTTAGAAATAAACTTACGCCATTTTAATAAAGCTGAAATTTATATATATTATTGAGAGTTCTCTCAAACTGAGTTTCCTAAATTGCCAGACAGTTTTCTTGGTTCCTTATCATACCAGACTCATTGAAACCGTATATTGGGTAACAACGGTGTATACAATTTCATATCAAATTCGTTATTTTAAGATGCTCCATTTTTTCACATAGTGCTCGTAACAGTATTATAACTTGCTCTGCTCATTGCCAGACCCTTAGTGTGGTTCCAACCCCCCGCCGGACCTCCCTAAACTATACTATTTTATAAATAAACTTACGTCATTTTAATAAAGCTGAACTTTATATATATTATTGAGAGTTCTCTCAAACTGAGTTTCCTAAATTGC